CAAGACCCTGCTCTTCGACTGTGCTTTCGATCACCCTGCTTCTCCACAATCCCGACCCCATCTTGGGTCCGAAACACTGACTGTCCAGCGCCTTGGAACGTCCTCCCGACTTGAAAGGCGCTATACAAATGCCATTTTGGTGTTGTATAGGAGGAAATATATGGAAGATCCCTCTTGAAATCAGTTTGTACTGTGCTGGTTAATTCCTTTAGAAAAGAATTGGATCAGCACCCAGTGGGTAAATCCATTGTGTGCTGTGGAACTGAGCCATGCAAGCTCGCAAGGCTCTGACTGCACACCCATGTCTCCCATCCATAGCTCCCAGCAGAACAACCCATCATAAGTTTCTCATCCGTCAATTCTCTTCACAGTCTCGTGAAGCCCTATTATTCTGGTTGTTCTATCGCTTGTTACTCAGTTGCTGCTCCGATTGAGATAGGTTTAGCACACTTTGACTTTCCTATTATCTATGCACATCATCATTGTATCTTAAACATACTGCCACATATTGCATAGGAATTTAGAGAACATAGGAGGGCCATTTGGACCATTGGGTCTGTGCTGTTTTGTGACAGCAATCCCTTATCCCAGCAAATTATTCTGTTTTAGATATCTATCTCAATCCCTCCCGAAAGCTAATCTGGATCCTCTTTGACCACCATAATTGGTAAACGTTCCACACACTAACAACTCTCTCTGTAAGAAAAATTCCTCCTAATCTCCCACTTTACTCCCTTGCTAATTATCTTAAATAGATGCCTTTTTAGTCACTGACTCACCGACCAGTACAAATAATTTCTCCCCATCAACTCTATCAAAACCCCTCATCAGTTTAACGAGTATAAGTATAGGCAGAAATGAGCAAATATTCCATTGGAAATAATGCTTCCTTTGTTGTTGTAACCATGGAAATGGCATCTCTAGAAAACAACCAAGTAAGGCTTCACTGTATAATGGTAGGTTTTTAGTTTGGGGAACTTTACTAGATACCTTTACGGTGTCGGAAAAATTTCACAGAACATTATCTTGTGTTTTACCTGTGGTTACTCATCTACCTTAAGTCCCACCTTAAAACCTACCTTTGGACCGTGCTACTAACATCTGACCCCATCATTGTGAAGTGCTCTATGAGATTACCTACGTAAAGGGTTGTTGTTCATACATTTGACCTAATTTTTGATTTGTTATGTTAGACCTATTAATGTTCAACTGTTCAGCCACTTTGGCTGTTTGTTTCTTCTATTGCTGTTTTGAGTAACTAAACAATCTAATCTAATTCAGGGGCAATAACCCACCCAAGCTTTGTTCTTGCAGTTCATAATCCAAAACTTCCCAAAACAACTGAGTTCCTTGTATTCACTCATCCCCATCATTATTCCCTATAATCCATTTCACATCATCCCAAACAGGGTGAGCTCAGAGCCAAAGACACAAGAGGACTGGAAGTGCTCCAACGGTAGCCCTCTCGCCTCTGAGCCAGGGGCCCCACGTTGGGAAATGGAATCGTGTTTCACATACAAAATAGAGTCACTACATTTTACAGTATATTCTGTGAAGGACTTTAACACTTCTTAAAGATGTGATTAGGCGCTATATCAAATGCAGGGATTATTATAATATTTTATCATCTAAACTGACACTCCAAAGCAGTACTGGGGGTGTGTTGCATTGACGGAGGCGCTGTCCTTCGGATGAGACGATCAATAAACAGCCTGTTCACACACTGTGTACATTATTACATTGTTAAGTTCACAATTAGGATTATGAAATGTAACAGAACGGAAATGAGCCGCTTGACCCATCCAACAATCCCCCAGATCAAAATTGTAATTCACGTCATTAGCTGTTTATGGGAAGTACTGTGTGTAAATAGGCTGTCTTGTTTGCTTACAACATACCGTCACTGCACTTTACAGTCAAATCCTGTAAAACATTTGAGAGGTCCATCTGACGTGAAAGGCAATGTATCAAATGCGAGGATTATTATTAATATCAAGTCCCAGGACACTCCGGCCCAATCATACAATTGAAGTGCATAATATTAGAGTAATATAACATGGATTTCTGGCACAAAAGCACTTTGCAGAGAGAATTTTAATGTGCAGATATAAAAATATACATCATCAACTTCCCACATACAATACGGGCTCTCAGGCACAGAGAACCTAACTCGGTGCTCGTGAGTGATGGTTTCTGTACACTCAGTGCTTTCAGGTTAGAAATGCAGAGCTGGTAATTGATTTATGAAGCTGGTAATTGCAGTTAATTCACTCGTCAATCCAGAAATGCTAAACTATCATTTTCCCAACAGATCTAAATTGAGTCATTTCCCAGTTTAGGAAGCAGCGCTGCTCCATGTGCTGCAGCGCCCCGCGGTGGCCAGGGGGTGGGGGGGGGGGTGCTGACAGCGCCGCCTGCAGGCCACAGCGTGGGGGCACATGGTGGGGTGGGGGGGGACCCAGGGAGACGGGGCTGGGTCACAGTGCTGCCTTTAGTGTGAGGGTACCCCACAGGCCAGGGCGAGAGCTGCCACACACTCAGTGGCAAAGCTTTCACAGCCAGTGCCGCAGAAACTGCTGATCTTCTTCCCAAACGAGGAGGGAATGCAGTACAACTACTCATAATCTTTGCATTTGACACAGCGCCTTATCACGTGGTCACAACCTCCCAAAGCACATCATGGGGGAAATACTGTAAAGTGGATTGACTGTGTATTTTGTGGGTGAACATGGCAGCCCTATTTGTGCCCAGCGGTGTCCCACAGTTATTTGGGGGATTATTGGCCAGGATAGCTATTCTCTTTTCGAATAGTACCATGGGATCTTTAACGCCCACCTGATCTGTTACTAGCTCCTTACTTGCTGCTAGTTTGGGAAAATTCAGGAAGCTCCAGTGAAACGTGCCGGTGTCGCACACCTGCACCAACACATCCCACTGGAATTTCTGATTATTTCTGCTAAACATGCAGGGCGGGTGAGGAGGCTGCAGCAATCCCAGAACTCGTTCCCCACTTGCCTCCAACTCCCTGGCCAGGCGAGGCAAGGGCAACATTTTGAGACAGAAGTGAAACTCCATGGATAGGAGCTTTAAGAGTACTTCAATTAAATAATAACTATCGTTACAGTCTATGTAATGCAGTTCAGGATGTCTCAAATATCAACAAAACCAACATTGCAATCCATAACATTAGCAGCAAAACTTATATTTCGAACCATGTGTGTGTATATGTGGGTGTGTGTGAGGGGGGGGAATTATTTTATAATATTCCAGGACTTCTGAGTCACATGTAAAAGCATAAAATAAAACCGGGAAGATTGGAAACCAATAAATTATCGGATGACCAAACCAATAAATTATAGGATTGTCCCGATTCCCATTAATCCCCACAGCCATTAATCCCCCCCCCACACAACAGGCTTCTTCAGTAACTGCCGGGGTCAGGAATCGTGGTGAATTCTGTTTTTTTTTGATGAACTTGTGTGTCAGACTGGCGCAGCGGTAGTGCTCTCGCCTCTGAGGCAGGAGGTTGTGGGTTGGGACTTGGAATCACACAGTCTTAAGATGATGCGTTGCATTGTCGGAGGTGCCATCTTTTAGATGACACATTAAACCGAGGTCCCATCTGCCTGTTCAGGTGGACGTCAAAGATTCCATGGCACTATTCGAAAAGAGAAAGGAATTTCTCTTTCCTGCTATCCTGGCCGACAATCCCCAAAGTACGATTGGTCGCTCACCCCATGGCTGTTTGTGGGATATTGGTGGGTGCAAACTGTCTGCCGCGTTTCACCTACAAAACACGGTGAGATGAAGTTTGGAAACCAATAAATTACAGGGTGACCACGCGACTGTGCATTTGATATAGCGCCTCATAACACTGAGACGTCTGAAAGTACTTCACTGTGAAGTGTAAAGTGAACTGACTGGTATTTTGTGGGCAAAACGCGGCAGCCAATTGCGCACAGCAGCGTCCCACAAACAGTCGTGGACTGAGTGACCAAATTATTATTATTTTTTTTAAGCGATTGTTATCCCCGAAAGGGCGATCCACCAATTGACTAACAAGGGGGGTTACTGCTTGGTACACAGAGGTGTGTGAGTGTGTCAGGAATCCCCTGGGAATCGAACCTCGGACCTCTCGTTTGGACAACTGTTGCTGTCTTTGAGTTCAGCAGCAAACTGAGCAATAACAATAACAATAACATTCAAGACACACATCAGAGACAGTAATCGCAGTAACACACGTCCCCAGTAACGTGTGAGGAGTAAATTTTTAAAAATATATACTGTATATACGTCTGTGCACATGTGTGTATACTGTGTGTGTCTGTGTGTACATGTGTGTATGTGTGAGTGTGTGTATACATATACACTGTATATATGTCTGTGTGTGTATATATGGTATATATGTATGTCTTGTGTGTGTGTGTATATGTGTGTGGGGGGAGGGAGGGGGTTGGGGGGAGGGGGGGTTGGGGAGGGAGGGGGTTGGGGGTGGGGGAGGGGGGTGGGGGAGGGAGGGGTTGGGGGTGGGGGGAGGGGGGTTGGGGGAGGGAGGGTGTTGGGGGGGGGGGGGGTGGGGGTGGGGGGAGGGAGGGGGGTTGGGGGGAGGGAGGGGTTGGGGGTGGGGGGGAGGGGGGGTTGGGGGAGGGAGGGGTTGGGGGGTGGGGGGAGGGGGGAGGGGGGGAGGGGGGGTTGGGGGGAGGGGGGAGGGGGGGTTGGGGGGAGAGAGAGAAAAAAGAAAAAGTTCAAGAAACTTTTTTTGGAGCAAAAATACCATTGGGGTGGGGGGGGGGTGAGGGCTGGTGGGGGGTGGTGGTGTGTGTGTGGGGGGGGTGGCCCCGCCCCCTCTCGGCCCCGCCCCGGGCACGTCACGCGCGCCCCGCCCCCGCCCGCCCCGTAGGCCCCGCCCCCGGTTTAAATGCCCGATCAGCTGTCCGCCGCCGCCGCCGCCGCCTATTTAACACGGGGCCACGCGGAGGGCTGAGCAATGTGCGGGAGCCATGTCGGCCGTGCGGGTGCTGTTGGCGCTGGCGCTGTGCTGCTGCTGCCGCCGCCCCCCGCGGGCTGCGGGGCAGGTGATCGAGTGCGCCCCGTGCGATGCCGCGGCGCTGCTGTCCTGCCCGCCCCCCCGCCGCTGCCAACTGGTGCGGGAGGCGCGGTGCGGCTGCTGCCTGACCTGCGCCCTGGCCGAGGGCGAACCGTGCGGCGTCTACAGCGCCCGCTGCGCCGCGGCGCTCAGGTGCGTCCCCAGGGCCGGGGAGAGCGCACCGCTCCAGGCGCTGCTGCAGGGCAGAGGGGTGTGCTGGCGGGGGGCACAGCGGGGCGGCAAAGGTGAGTGGGCACACACCCCCACACACACACACACCCCCACACACACACACACACACAGACACACAGACACAGAGACAGACAGAGACACACCCCCACACACACACAGACAGACACACAGACAGACACACAGACACAGACACACACAGAGAGACAGAGACAGACACACACACACACAGACAGACACACACACACACACCCCCACACACACACACACAGAGACAGACAGAGACACACACACAGACAGATACACACAGACACACACAGACAGACAGAGACACACACACAGACAGATACATAGACACACACATATACAGACGGATATATGCACAGATATACACACACACACAGTGGATATATGCACATACAGATGTACCCCCAGACACACACACACACACACACACATAGATATGTACACATAGACACACACACACACATATATATAGTTTATATTTATACACACACATACACAGGGTAGACACACGCACACACACACAGAGACAGATACACACACACACACACACAACGCCGCAAACACAAACAGATCCACAGGCAGAGAGACAGACACACACCCACACACAGACGGAGTGAGACTGACTGACTGACTGACTGATGGATGGAGAAGCTCAGATGCTCTCGTAACAAGTTCTAACTCTCTGAAGTAACTTATGAACCACTGAAACCGGTTTTAGAACCAATTAAAAACCAATCCAACAGAAGTTTCAATTCGACATTTTACCACTATTGTAAATATTTTGGGGTTTTTTTTTAAAAAAAAACGATCACACTTCGTACTTGGGAGTCAAACTTTTGTCTTGAGCAGATTGGTGTAGAATATTTAGATTTTGGTTTTGTTTGTCTGGTTTGGGTAGAAAGAACGCGGTCGGTGGATCGCTGGGAGGTGTGAGGTTATTCCGAATTAAATCTGAGAAAGCCGTGGTTTAAGGGTCGGGAAGGCAGTGAGGAACCGGGCGGGTCCCTTTAAAGGAGATGAATGGGAAGTGAAATAATAATGATCCTTGTATTTGGTGTGAGCTCCTTTATCACGTCTTCGAGACGCCTCAAAGCGCTTCGCAGAATCCACCGTGAAAATGAACTAACTGCGTTTTGTGGGGAAAACGCAGGAGCCGGGTTTGCGCACAGCAGCGTCCGGCAGACCACCAGGGAGCGAGTGACCAATTCTCTCTGGGGGATTGGTCAGCCTGGACACGAACAGGAAGTGATGCAGCAGCCAGGTGTCTGCCGCATTTGGAAAGCCATCGCCACACTTCAGAGCCTCCAAACCGGACAGTTTCACGCATCCATCCCACCGACACATAGAAATATCTGTTTGGAATGGAATGCTCTCTCTCGCGCGCTCTCTCTTTCCGGAGACTCACTTTGTTCAACTAATTCCAGTTGGCAAGACCCAAGGCTTGGCGACCCCAAGTGTGTGGTGGGGTACCTGCTGGAATCTAACCGGCTAAAACCATTGTGTAGCAAGTGCAGCGACACCGAGGGGTTTGAAGGTGGGCAAAGTGAGGCGGAGGGACTCTGGGATGGATTACCTAAGGACGGCTTAAAAGCTCGGATGGGCGTTCTGGAGGTCTGATGGACCTTTCGTCACCCAAACCATATCTGATGTTGTGACCTTCAGCGTTTGCTCCTCTGATGAAGGGGTTTATGATCATAAACTCAATGTAAAACTTACATCAGATCCATCAAAGTGCCCGAGTTTTACATTGAGTTTTACTAATCGTGTATGTTAGCATTGTATGTAAATATTGCATGTAAATTGTTAATATTATTTATTGTTATTCTTTCTCCAGCAAATGACGGGATTCTAGTGTCGAAGGAAAGTGATATCCCATACGATATAATGCAGAAATTTGGGCAGCGAGAGGGACATCATCCAAAGGGAACAGTTCACAGTGCGATTAACCCTTCCAAGCCCACTTCCATCACCACACAGCTGCCAGTCTCTGAATACGTAAGTGCCCGGCTCCACTTCCACCAGCACGTCTGCCACTCAGCTCGGTGTGGGGGGGGAGAGAGAGAAAGCTGAGTGGTGGTGGGGGGGGGGGATTGTTGGGGCTAAGATACTGGCCGACTGAAGTCTACATTCTCATGAGCTGCAGAACGCTCATGAGATGTCAGTCTGGTTCCCATGGCGACTCTGGTACAAATCTCAAACCGCTGAGCTCTTAGAAACAAATGAACAGGAGGAAGCCATTCAACCCCAACTGGTTCATCTGTACCTCAACTCCATTTACCTGCCTTTGTCCCACATCCCTTGATATCCTGACCTAACAAACATCTCTCCACCTCAGGCTTGGAAATTTGGTGTAATTTTGCTATTAAATGAACGATGGGGTGAGGGGGTGGATGTGGAGATATGGGCTGAGGCTGGTGGGGAGGTCACAGAGCTCAGGACACACAGGAACCAGCTCTGTGTCCCCTCTGACCTCAGGAACATTGAATCCTCTCCCACCTTTTCTCACCTGCAGAGGCGGTTGCAATAAGTCGTGTTGCCACAAGGGGGCCTCACTGCATTGCCATTGGCCTTCACTGCATTACGCACTGCAATACGACTTACGTTTCTACAGCGTCTTCGCTTGTCAACGCGACGTGGGCACCAGCGCAGGGGGTGGGGGCGGCGGTGGGGGGGGACAGGGTTGAGACCGGGTCAATGGAGTAGTTTTACAGAATGGCTCGGAGGGGAGGAAGAGATCGGATGAGCTTCACGTCAGCCCACGGTTGACCTCTGGGCGATGCGAGGGACCGGTGCTGGGGCACAGACCGGGTGGGACTGGTTTTACGCAGGAAGTTCTGGGCTGGTGTTTAAACGGCGTTTGACCCTGTGCGCTCAGGGTCCGTGTCGGAGAGAGATGCAAGCCATTCTTGAGGACCTGAAGCCCCAATACCCGCACAGCCCCGGGGACCTGTACATCCCGAACTGCGACACAAGGGGATTCTACCGCAGGAAACAGGTAACAGCGCGATTAGCTCCGTCCCCGTAAAGCCAGCACCACTCACCAACCTCGCCTCTGGGTCAGGAGCTTGTGGGTTTGACCCCCCCCCCCCCCACCACCACCCCACATCGGGGACCTTGAGCCCACAGTCCAGGCTGTCACTCCAGTGCACTGTGTCGCCAGGTGAGACGTTAAACCTCACTCCCCGTCTGTGCGCTGTTCAGGTGGATGTTCAAGATCCTGTGGCGCTATTCAAAACGAGAAGGGAGTTTCTCTCTCTTTTCCCCCCCACCCCCACCCGACCCGTGTCCTGGCTGGCAATCCCCCAGATAATATCAGTCATTCACTTGGTCGCTGTTTGTGGAACGTTGCTGTGCAAAATTGCCTCCTGCACAGTCACTGCACTTCACAGTAAATTCCGGGAAGCGCTTTGAGACGTGCTGATGATGTGTTAAGACGCTGCACCAGGAATATTAATACAAAGCTGGGAACGGCCTGCGTCCCTATGACGTGGTTTGGGGGTCGCTCTCTCAGCCCTGGGCCGTGGTTTGGGGGTTTGGCTATTAACCCTGTATTTGCTATTGGCAGTGCCGTCCATCGAGAGGCAGGAAGCGAGGCCAGTGCTGGTGCGTGGATCGGTACGGGCTACCTGTGCCCGGCACGGAGAGCCGAGGTCGGGGGGGACACTGCATGCCCAGTGCCTCCTTTGAACAGAGCGGAGACGTGAGGTCATAGCTCCGTGTGTTCCGGCCAGAAGACACCACAGCCTGAAGATACAGCCACAGGAGGACTCGCTTTAACCAGCCCCTCGTTCCCGCCTCCGTCAACCCCTCACCATGCCCCCCCCCACACCCCCGCACCCCCTCCCAACAAACACACAAACCCCACCGTCTCCAAACCCACTTCCCTGAGAACAGGGAAACAGTATAGAAACGAGAGCTGAGTTCTGCTCGGCCAATCGGATCTCGTCCGTCCAGAGCCCCCAACCCCCCTCCACCCCACAGTGACCACTCTCTCCCCTCCACCAAACCCATCACCCACGAAGCTGTTTGCACTCAGTCCCGCCTGTGCTGTGCTGTACCTGCTGTGCCAGTGCTGGGAAGCTCGCTCTCGCTCTCTCTCACGGAGGAGCTGAAATTCCCGTGAGGTTTTTTATATTATTAATCACACGAGTAACGTCACGTTAATTTATTTCTGCCCCAAAAATACTGTAACCTTCTCACTCTCTGCCTCTCTCAGAGAGTCTGCCTGGGACCAAGGACCAGTTTCATTTCACTTCCTCCGAGGGCACGACACCCCCTTCTCCCCACCAACCCCCCAAATACTGTCGTGTTATTATCCTGGGAGAATGTTGTACTTATTTAAATGTGGCTGCTCTGCTCGAGTGTCAGACGCTGCGAATGTTTCCTTTATCAACTTGATCAAATGCTCTTTGTTTTTTTTTGGGTGATTATTTCGGTGTTTATCTCTCTGCCGGTTGCTTCAGAATTTTTTTCCATGTTATATTTAATAAAATGTTTCCACGTTTAAAGTGTAGTGACTCTGTGTGTTTTAGGAGAACGATTTGCATTTATATACAACCATTCATGCGGGGCATCGTCTCAGAGTAACTTAATACAACCATCCGTAACATCCTGTAATGTGTTGCGAGATTTCACTGTGGAGTATAGTGACTGTGTGCTTTGTGAGTGAACACAGACTCCCACAGACTCCGGTGAAACTGCTTTTATCTGGGGATTGTTGGCCAGGACCCAGGGAGGGGGAGAGAAAAACTCCTCTTTTCCAATGGTGCTGTGGGATCTTTAGCATCCATAGGAACAGGAGGAGATCATTCAGCCCTTTGAGCCTGTTCAGTCATGTAATTAGATCTTGGCTGATCTGTACCTCAACTAATCCTTTTAATTCCAATTTCCCGCTTTCTCCCTGAATCCCCAAACTACCAACAATCTACTAACCTCATCCTTGAAGGTGTGGATGAATCCAGGATCTGCAGCCTTTCGGGAGAGAGAATTCAAGGTTTCTCCCCATCTTTGAGCAAAAATGCTTCCTAATTTCACTCTTAAATGGCCTCAGGGAGAGGGGACAGGTGTGTGGGGGGAGGGACCAGGCGGAGCAGGTGGGGCTGGTGCAGGGGGAGGAGCTGAGTGAGGGAGGAGGAGACAGGCTGGTGTTGAGGGGGGGGGGGGGGTGATGCCACTGATCAATCACCTGGTTTATTGCACCTCAAAGTGCGAGGCAGAATCTGTGGCAAAGTCCAGCCTCGTTCACTGCCAATGTGGGCGGTAATTAACCCTTTGTGGATCTCCATCCCTCTCCCAAACAGCTGTGGATTATGGTGGATCCATTCACGATTGGAAGCCTGAGGTGCACAGATGTTTCTCAGGTCAGAGGACCACGAGGACATGAGACAAAGGCGGGTAATGGGAGTTCAGTCACCATCTACTAGAATGGTGGATCAGGCTCGAGGGGCTGAATGGCCTACCTGTGTTCCTATGGAGTCGGATTCCTGGCTGACTGTGACTGTGAGAGGGACCGACACGAGGAAACCATGGAATTCTGTCCCTTTAAATTCCCAAACACACGGCTCCCAGCATCCCTGTGTCGAGACCTTTTGAAACCTGCGGATAAAAATTGTTTTAAATTCCCCGAAATACTGCACCCCTCTCCTCCCACTTCCCCTCTCCTTGCCCTCCTCTTCTCCTCTCTCCCTCCCGTCTCCCAGACCTGGCAATGAGTCAGGAAGGAAAGAGTTAAGCAGCGAGCGAGAGCAATGAACCATATCTTCACAGGAAAGTCATATCTGTGGACCTGTGGACAGCTGAGGGGACTGTGTGCAGAGGCTCTCAGTCACTGAGTCTGTGTGGACAGGTCAGGTTCTGCGCAGACAGACCCTCGCTCCAGCCACCCGTCCCCCACACCCCCCCCAGACCACCACGTCCGTGAGTACTGTAGTTTCTCAAACAATAATATATTAATCCTTACATTTGATACAGCGCCTTATCATGACACGTCTCCAAGTGCCTCACAACATAAAGTGTAGTGACAGTATATTTTGTGGGCGAAACGTGGCAACTGATTGTGCACAGCAGTGTCTCCCGCAAACAGTTATGGATTGAGTGACCAAATTATTATTATTTTTCATTTTATTTACTTTTTAAGGGATTATTATCCCCGGAAAAGCAATCCGCCAATCAATTGACAACCAGGTTCCTCCTTACTGCTGGGTAAACAGAGGCGTGTGGAGTAAGGAAACTTGCCTAAGGTTTCTTTCAGCCCGGGAATCAAACCCAGGTCCTCTCGCTTGTGGGGCGAGTGCTCTAAGCTGGTGTGGGCATCACCACAGAGTCTCTTCGGAACTTTTCCATCAAACTCAGAACAGATGAGTGGGTCGCTCAACAGTCTGTCAATAGTTTGTCAATAGTTTATTGCTCAGTTTAAGGCATATACTGGTGTGTCAGACACACACGGACATTCGTCCCCGTGATCAGCTGATGGGAAAACCCATCACTGTTATCAGTCGGGTGTATCCTGTAAAGCACTTTGCAAAGCCCTGCTGACGTGACATGCACTAAACATAAGGATTATCATTATTAATGTTACACAAACTGAACTCTCAGGTGTGGGTCAATGTCATAATAAAGGCCGTTTATTGGAGACCTTTATTCTCTGCCTCAACCTCGATAGTAATGTGCGGAGTCAGCGCAGTGTCTCCCAGGGGTGAAGTCTGCGATCGCCCACACTACACATAGCATACACTACACATAGCACACACTACACACAGGACCGGGTGTAAATAGCTGTGGATTATATCCCATTGACTGACTTTTCAGAGCTGCCAAATGGAGTCAAAGCGGAGGCAGAGGAGGAGGAGGGAGGCTGATGTGAGAGAGAGAAACTCGCTGAGCGGAGAGGCTGAGGATTCGGGGCAGAGAGAGAAGCAGAGAGAAGACAACGGTAAGAACAACAACAAATTACACTCGCACAGCGCCTTTCACGTCAGGAGGACGTCCCGAGGCTACACGGGGGACCGAGACTGTGAGGAGAATGACCGGCCAAGTTGGGGTTTGCCTAGAGAGGTCAGCCAAAGCCACTCACTCACTCTCTCTCTCACCACTGGTCAGACTGTGTATGATATACAGCATGACATTGGATTGATTACCAGTTACTAGATTGTAACAATCAACTAACAACCGGGTTCCTACTTATTATTAGGTAAAGAGAGGCGCGTGTGTGTGTATCTAACGTTTCGCCCTGAAACCAAAACCAACCAAAAACCACGGCTGCGTCAACAAGCTCAGCCGCAAACGTTTACCTTCTTCCTGCTTCTCTTCCAGGCTCCGTGGACAAGATCAGTCACCTGGCCAACTGGCAGAGGCACAAGGAGGTGGGAAGAGTCTGATTACCTCTCGTTTCTCATCATAACAACAATAATAATAATCTGTCTATTTGACACAGCGCCTTCTCACAACAGCAAGTAGGACGTCTCAAAGCGCTTCAAGGAAGTACTATAAAGTGCAGTGACTGTGTATTTTGTGGGTGACCACAGTACACAGCACAGCAACGTCCCACAAACAGCCATGAAGCGAATGAGCAGTTTTATCAGGGGGATCGAGCCCCATCCTCCCCTCACGCCCGCCTTTTCTCTCTTTATCTTCAAATCCCACCTGGAGACCTACCTCTTCAACCACAATCTATCGTCACCTCCCCCTTCCCCCCTCCCCCCCTCCTCTCCTCTCCCGCTCTCCCTCGCCCCCAAGGGCTGACCCTGACATCGGGAGCACTCTGAGGCGCTGTCCTATGTGACAGGCGCTGTGTAAATGCACGTTAATCAATGGAAAGGATTATTGTGAGATCAGATCTGCTGCTCGGGATGGGAGTGGGTGTGTGGGGGGGGGGGGGGGGGGCTGCTGTCGGTTTGATGGTTGTCGGCCTCGGTCACTCACACCCCCCCCCATCCCCTCTTACCCCCCCACCCAGGATGTGAAGGTTAAATTCCTGGAGCAGCTGCGAGGGCAGGTGAGCGAACTGCTGGACAGAGCGCTGGAGGAATCCGTCCAGTCCTTCTCTCAGCGCAGCCCAGGGACCAAATCCCCCAAGACAGGCCAGCGAGACAGGTAAACCCTTCCTCACGTCACCACACAAACTGCAGTCTGGTCACCCAGAGCGACCTGAAACCATGTACATCTCTCTCTGTCTCACATCCTCTCTCCCTCTCACACATTCTCTGCGTCTCAGTCTGTCTGTATCTCAGTCTCAGTTGTAAATGGCTGTGTTTGTCACAAGGCTGGAGAGATTAGGAGTCGAGAAAGAAAAGATCTTCATGAACAGATGCTCAATTCTGGAGTGAGTATCTTCCCAATGCTCTGTGTGCGCTCACGTTTAGTGTGAGCAGCTCAGGTCTGGCTGTGGGTGGGATCTGGATCAGGGTGTGGTCTGGCTGTGGGAGGGGTGTGGTCTGGCTGTGGGGAAGGGGTGTGGTCTGGCTGTGGGGAAGGGGTGTGGTCTGGCTGTGGGGAAGGGGTGTGACCTGACTGCGGGTGTGGTCTGGCTGTGGGGAAGGGGTGTGGCTGACTGACACCCCCCCCCCCTTGTGTTACAGTGAACTGTTTGAGATCCGTCACATTAAGACCATTTACCACATGTTCATCGCTGCCCTCGTGGTCTTCATCATCAGCACTGTGGCCGTGGAGTTCATTGACCAGGGAAGGTGGGGGCAATCTCAGGGGGTAATCGCCGTGTTCGTCGCACTCGTGATCACACAGCGAAGCGGCCAAGCGAGATCCAGCGACCGGCCCAATATTTACGTGGGGGGCGGGTGGGGGGTGGGGGGGGAAGGAAGCAAGACAGAGGGGAAAGGGGAAAACGGGATGGGGAGAAGTGGGGAAGGGGGAGAGGGATGTGGGGAGTGACTGTAGGCGCAGTTGAAGAAGTAGGATAAGATTTAAAGTCTGATGGGGGGCTCTGGCGGTCGGGGACGACTCAGCCAATGTATGTATATCAATATATAAACATCCACAGTATATCACACACGTGTACATCACTCACACAATATATACCACAACTTGGATTTATATAGCGCCCTTCACGCCGGACGGCATCTCAGAGCACTTAAATATTACACAGTATATCGCACACACAGTATATCACACAGTATATCACACACAGAGTACATCACACCGTATATCACACACACAGTATATCACACAATATACCACACACACACAGTATATCACACACAGTATATCACACACACAGTATGTCACCCACAGTATAAGGCTGTGTTCTGTCTGTTCCAGGCTGCTGCTAGACTTTGACCTGCTGTTCTATGTCTTTGGGAAGCTGCCCACGGCGATGCTGGCCTGGCTGGGGATGTTCCTCTACACACTGTTTGTGCCGTTTAAAGTCCTGAGCTGGTGGGGAGGCAGGTACCACAGCTCCCGGCTGCCGCGGCTCCACACACTGGCCTCGGGGGCGCTTCTGGCGACCACACACCTCTGTGTCCTCGGCCTCCTGCCCATAAACGTAGTCATTCACTACCAGCTGCCACCGGCGTCAAGGTTCATCGTCATCTTAGAGCAGGTACGTCCCCCTCCCCTGTACTTCAGCCCCCCACCACCGCTCCCCTTCCTCGGGAATTATCATGGGGGGGAGGGGAGAGCGGAAAGGGAGTGGGGGGCCTGGGGGAAGTTCTAGGAGTGTGAGGCCCAAGGGTCAGTCGCTCCTGGGCTTCTCTCCCAGACGCAAGACTCAGCCTCACCACTGTCCACCCACAGCTTCTGGCCGATCGGTTTCTCTAAATTCTGTCTCATTCACACACAGGTTGTGAGATGAAAGGCGCTGTATGTGGGGGGGGGGGGGGGTGGGATTATTGTGTAATTACTTATTATTTATTTTCTTTCCCAGATTCGTTTTCTGATGAAGTGTCACTCCTTCATCCGGGAAAATGTTCCCAAAGTCCTGAACGCCAAACTGAGGGACGGTGAGAAACAGCAACAACAACTTGCACTTGTACAGCGCTCTCCACACAGGGAGGCGTCTCAGAACGCTTAAAACCCTGCTTTAATCAAACACCATCTACTCTGCTCTTTACTATCAGGCGCGCGGGTTGGGTGTGTGTGTGTGGGGGGGGGGGGGGGGGGACAGCGAGTGGGCTGACAAAGTTGCTCTGTGTCTGTAACCATCGAGGTCTGAAAGCATCATTGTCCACACCTTAAGAGCATTGGGTCAATATCAGTCTCGCTGGGCAGGGATGGGAAGGGCTGGGCTGGGCAAGGCAGGGAAGCGCTGGGCTGAGTAGGGCTGGGCAGGACAGGGCAGGGCTGGGCTGGGCAGGGCTGGGCAGGGCTGGGCAGGGCAGGGCAGGGCAGGGCTGGGCAGGACAGGGCAGGGTAGGGCTGGGCTGGGCTGGGCAGGGCTGGGCAGGGCAGGGCAGGGCAGGGCAGGGCTGGGCTGGGCAGGGCAGGGCTGGGCTGGGCAGGGCTGGGCTGGGCAGGGCTGGGCTGGGCAGGGCAGGGCTGGGCAGGGCTGGGCAGGGTAGGGCTGGGCAGGGCTGGGCTGGGCTGGGCAGGGTAGGGCTGGGCAGCGCTGGGCAGGGCAGGGCAGGGCAGGGCTGGGCAGGGTAGGGCTGGGCTGGGCAGGGCAGGGCAGGGCAGGGCTGGGCAGGGCTGCGAGCACAATGGGTTGTCGGAGCTGCTGACCTTTGAACAGAACATTAAACAGAAGTCCGGTCGGTGTCTGTTCAGGTGGATGTTAGGAATGCCGTGGAAAGGGAGTCTCTCCTGGTGTCCTGGCCAACAATTGCCCCTAGAATTGGACACTCTGCACATGGCTGTTGCTCTATACACTTCGTCTGGTTAGTTTGCCTACAACACGCACAGTGGTTTGGATGAAGAAGACCCTTTGGCCCATCTGATCTCATCACCTCCAGATCTCCCGCCCGCCCCCGTCCCCATCACAGCAACGAGTCCCAGTGTCCCTGGCCTCGAACCCCACACCCCCTCCCTTCCTAGAAACACTTCCTGGTCTCTGTCCTGAAATTTCTCTTTACACTAACCTCTGACCCCGTGTCCTCTTGTTTCTCTCAGGTGAGGAGCTGAAGTTGCCGGAGTTTTCGAGCTATTTATATTTTTTATTCTGCCCCACCCTCATCTACCGCGATTCTTACCCCAGGTAGGTCTCAGGCTTTATCTACTGCTAATGGAGTGTGGAGCCCACAGTGTCCCTTTACTGTCTGATGTCATCTCCTGTGTACTGTGTATACACATAATTTTCTTCTATGTACTGTGGAAACACAGGAAATGCTGCGTACACACACACACACACACACTAAAACAGCGACACACACACACATCACACACACTAACACAGTGACACACACATGTACATACACACACTGACACAGTGACACACACACATGTACACACACTGACATGCACAGACACACTGGTAGAGATACCGACGTACACAATGTATAACTCGCAATGTGTCTTATTGCAGAAACTCAAAGATCAGATGGAAATACGTATTACTGAACTTTTCTCAGGTCAGTTCCATTAAAACTCCTTTTGACTGATTTGAATCGCAGCCCCGATCCCCGTCTCTAACCCCGAGAGCGGAAAACAACAACAACAACAACAAAATTACATTTAGAGAGCGCCTTTCAAGCACTGAGTGACTGTGTCTGCGGATTCCAGTCTTCCTTTACCGTGATGTGACGGCTACTGACCGGGCAGTCGTTGTCACTGTGTGCGTACGTTAGTGACTGTGCTGAGCTGCTCTGACCCCGGCCCCTCCATCTCTCTCTCTCTCTCCTCCCCCCCCCCCCCCCCCCACACAGGTACTGGGTTGCCTTCTCTATGGCTATTTTATCCTGGTCAGACTCTGTATCCCCGTCTTCACCAACATGAGCAAAGAGCCGTTCAGTATCAGGGTGCTCATCCTCTCCATATTCCACGCCACCCTGCCAGGTACCCACACATCCCTGGGACGCTCGCTCTCTCTCTCTCTGCGTCTCACTCACTCTCCCTCTCTCTCTGTGTCTTTACTCTCTCTCACTCTGTCTATCTGTCTGTCTCACTCTCTCTCGCACTCACTCACCCTCGCTCTCTCGCTCTCGCAGGTATGTTTCTGCTGTTCTTGGCATTTTTCTCGTTCCTCCATTGTTGGCTGAACGCCTTTGCTGAGATGTTGCGGTTTGGAGACAGAATGTTTTATAAGGTACTTCTTCACCCCCCCACCCCCCCACCCCATGTCGCTCTCTCACCATCCTCCCACCTCCCCAAACGCCAAACATAAAACATAAGAACATAAGAATTCACTGGACAAAAGGAAACCAAGGTCCATCTAGTTCGCCTCCCGCCGGCCTGGCGGAGGGGTGACATGTCGCGCCCCAAACTATTCAGTTTCCCCGATATTATTTTTGAGCTGAAATTGATCTGGTTTGTTCTTGAAACTGGGGGTGGGGCTGTGCCAGGGGTGGGGCTGTGCTGAGGGCGGGGCTGTGCCAGGGGCGGAGCTGTGCTGGGGGCGGGGCTGTGCCAGGGGGTGGGGCTGTGCCAGGGGTGGGGCTGTGCCGGGGGGTGGGGCTGTGCCAGGGGTGGGGCTGTGCCGGGGGGTGGGGCTGTGCCGGGGGGTGGGGCTGTGCCAGGGGCGGGGCTGTGCCAGGGGCGGGGCTGTGCCAGGGGCGGGGCTGTGCCGGTTAGAGAGCTGATTGGTCACTGTCCCTCAGGATTGGTGGAATTCCACATCGTTTGCCAATTACTACAGAACATGGAATGTTGTCGTTCACGATTGGCTCTACAGCTACACCTACAGCGACTTCCTGTGGGTGAGGACCGCCACTGGGGGCGCCCTGCCCTCCCCCTGCCCAGCCCTGAGCTCCGCCCTGCTCTACCCCACTCTGCCCTGCCCAGCCCTGTACTGCCCTGCGCTGCCCAGCCTTGCCCTGCCCAGCCTTGCCCTGCCCAGCCCTGCACTGCCCAGCCTTGCCCTGCGCTGCCCTGCCCAGCCTTGCCCTGCGCTGCCCAGCCCTGCCCTGCGCTGCCCTGCCCAGCCCTGCCCTGCGCTGCCCAGCCCTGCCCTGCCCAGCCCTGCCCTGCGCTGCCTGCTGCTCCCCTCTCACTCACTGTCTGTTTTGTAGCTGACTGGGAAGCGATGCCGTGTGGTGGCAATGCTCTCGGTATTCGGTCTGTCCGCTGTGGTCCATGAATACGTGCTGACGCTGTGTCTCGGCTACTTCTACCCCGTCATGTTCTGCCTCTTCGCCATCTTCGGGGGTAAGTGTCCATCCTGAGGGCGAGGGAAGGGTCGTCAGCGTCACTTCAATGACGGGTGGGGTGAGGGATATAATAATATTAATAATAATCCTTACCTTTGATACAGTGCCGTTCAGGTCAGGAGGACATCTCAAAGTTTTACAGGGATTTACTGTAAAACTTTACTAAAGTGTAGTGTATTTTGCAGGGGGATTTGTGTCATCTTTATACAGACAGGTTTGTGCATGTCTTAATCTATTTATAATACATTACTCTATTAATATTAATCTCATTGCTTTCCAGTTCTTTTCAATTTTATTTTCAACGACAACAGAAAGAGTCCAGCCTGGAACGTGCTGATGTGGGTTTTCCTGTTTATTGGACAAGGCATCCAGGTGTGTCTGTATTGCCAGGAATGGTACGCTCAGATCCACTGCCCTGTCACACAGGTATGTGCCTGGTTACCTCTCCAGCAACTCAGACGCACCACACATACATACACACACATACATAGACACACACAAACACACATATTACCTACGCACTTACCTACACTCACACACCTACACACGTGTGTGTAGATACATACATGTCACACACGCACACACAGTCGGGCCTGCTCTCCTGATTGTGTTTATCTGGTCTCTCGTTACTAGAGGACGTTCTGGGAGCTGGTGACTCCCCGCTCCTGGACTTGCCGGCCGAAAGCTTAACTTTCCGCAGTTCAGACATCACAGTCAGTGAGAAGATCAGCCGGAGAGAGCGAGGGAGAGGGAGTATGTCCACGATGTCTCCACGTGGCTACTCACTGCTCTGTGTCCGAGGAGATTCCTGGAACCGGCTATGAAGCCGGCAACAAGCAGAGAAATGTCTTGTTCCTCCATCAGGAACCTAAAGCAATTGTTAATAAGGCTGAATTCACCCAAAGAAAAACATTAAACCTGGTCCCTGATCTCCGAGCTGTGTGTGGGTTTGTTCCTGGCACAGATTTGCTGCCTTGTTTGGCTCCATCAGTCTCTCCTCTGGGGTACGGGGAGCCAGTGGAGCCGGGCGAGGGTTGGGGTGATGGGGTCACGGAGCCTGGTGTGGGAGAGGACACGAGCTGCGGAGTTCTGGATGGTCTACAGCTTGTGGAGGGAAGAGTTGAGACGTCCGGTGCGTAGAGGTGATGCAGTCGAGTGCTGGAAGCCTGGCTGAGGGTCTCAGTGGCCTGTGGGGAGAGGTGGCGGCGGAGATAGGCAAAGCTGAACAACGAATAAAGATGTCAGGTTTAAAGGACAGTTGAGGGTTGAACAAGACACTGAGGTTCCATACTGGCAGGGTGAGGTGGAGAGTGCAGATGCTGTCAGCGTCTGAGGTGAGGTGAGGAGCTGCTGACGGGAGCCAAGCCAAGCCGGAGGGTCTCGGTCTTTTATACATTTATGAATTAATCCAATTGTGAAAAGAATGTTGCAGACCCACCCCTTGGAAAAACAGATATTTAATGTAGCTTCAAAACAGAATGGGTTAAAGCACATAATTAACATTACTAGAGGTAGGATAATACATCAGCAAAACAAAATACATGCAGATTACGCAGATCAGTAACAATTCTAACAAACAATTCTAACAACCCACTACCCGCTGCCTCCGCTCGAGTGGCTCCAGCCTCCTGCGTGTCCCTCCTGCCCACTGTTCCACCATCGGTGGTCGCGCTTTCAACCACTCCGCCCCGAAACTCTGGAACTCTCCCTCTATCCCCCCCGCCTCGCCCCCTCCTTCCCCATCTTCACGTCGCGACTGGAGACCTTCCTGTTCGACCAGTGCCTTACGGTCACCTCCCCCTCCCCACCCGGCTCAGTGTCGTGCTCCGCCACTGTCAAACACTCTGGGACGCTGCCTGCTATATAAATGCAAGTTGTTGTTGAAAGCGATCACCCTCTGGTGACCATCAATTAGTTATTTATTGAGAGGAAACTAGTCGGCACAGAATGATTCCTTGTGTTACACCTCAGACAGCATCAAGAGACACAACCTCCGGGTTCTGTGTAAAGGCTGAGCTGGATATACAGTATATAACAGACAAAGCCACATGTCTGTGGTCACAATACCCCAGGATATACCTGCCCTTGTTTCATTCCTGTCTTGGTGCTGCTGGACACAACAGGATCTCAGAGAGAGCTACAGTGGCTCACATCCTCCCCCCTCCCCACCCCCTCGCTGGCACCTCATGGTGTTTACACCGAGGTGCAGCAAATGGCTCACACCCACAATGTCCCCTCCTTCTCCCCAACACTCAATTCCTCATCAGTCACAGGTCCCGGCTGAGTAGGTTTGCTCCAGAAAGCGGTGGGTGGCATTGGGGAGGTCAACAACAGCAACAGCACCAAGTGCACCGGCTCAGAGCTTTACCTGATAATCCCCGAGACGTCCTCAGTACCTTTCACATCCGGAGAATGTCTCAGAGCTTCACAGGACATACTGTAAAGTGTGGCGAGTCACCGCGTGTACTTTGTGTGGAACACGGCAGCCAATTTGTGCAAAACGACGTTCCCACAAACAGCCGTGAAGTGAAAGACATCAAAATGTGTTGGATCGGATGCGTATCCAGCCATCAGACCGTACTAACTCCTACTCAAGCTTCCATTCCCAATCTGCCACAAAGCTCAGAGACTCTAGATTTCAGAAAAGGTTCACCATGATACAACGATGGGGGGGGAAAGCTGAGCTGAGTTTGGCACCACTTTAAATAGAGGGTTGGGGATCTGGGAAGATGAGATCAAATGGGCAAGTTTCATCTTCATCTGCTATACTGCAGCTCCCACTAACCACCGTACGCTGGGCATTGAGCTCTCAGCAATTGGAATGTTAACACTGGAGATGATTGATGGACAATTTCCAGATCCAGACCACACCCTGGACACTGCCGACAGTTCTGGACACAATACCGGGCCCTGTGCAGAGGAGGGCAATGAGGCTGATCCCCAGTCTTAAGAGGAATGAGCTGTGAGCAACGATTAGAGAAGCTCAGGCTCTTCTGTCTTGAGAGAACCCGTCTCAGAGCAGACCTTGTGGGTTCAGTTTTAAAAGGAATCGAAAAAGTAAACCCACAACAACACTTTTGGACGCACTGAGACAACAGAACAAGCGTTTCGCCCACAAAATATACAGTCACTACACTTTACAGTATATCGTTTAAAGCGCTTTTAAGACGTCTCTACGACGTGATAAGATGCTATATCAAACGCAAGGATTATGATGATTTAATAATTAACAACAGGAACAGGGTTACTGGCAGGGTGGGGCAGGGTTGAGGCCAGGACACTGGGATTCATTTAAAAAGCAGCTCGATGATGATGGGAGGAAGGTGTGATGGGGGGAAAAGGTACAGTGGATGTTCTGGAGAGAGGAGATCAGATGGGCCAAGAGAAACTTCTTCATCCAAACTGATGTATAATCTTGTAAAGTCAATGGATGATTCTTCCCTCTGGTAGAGATCCAAAGTAACTGGACAATATAGTCAGACGTTCTCACCAGAGGCTTTGAAACCACACGTGTAGATCCCATTGGGATGTTTAAAGGGGAGACAGATACTTTCGGAGATGATGGGGGAAAAGGGAGTAAAATATCTGCTATGATCCAATAAATTAGCGGCACAGGCTCGATGGGTTGAACGATCTTCTCCAGTTTCTAAAGTGTGGAGACAGGCCAGACTCCAACAACTGGTGAAGGCAATGCTGAGGTTACCAAACCCTAGGGTTTTGCTGAAAGCCTCCAGCACTCTCCAGGAGATATCACAGGCCCTTTCGCACTCACTCAGATCCCAGGCAGCACTCGTCAAGAACAACACTGGTGCGAATTTTAATTTAATCTTTAGTTTTTATTAGCTCAGCGACTGACATTTGTACTGCCTGAAAAAAAAAAACCACAATTTAGCTCAGCTTTTACCATGTTGTGGCCGGGGTGACACAGAACTTTTCCATAACTGGAGCGAGTATCAATGGCAGATCTTGTGGGGGTAACGGGTACAAGGGAGTCAAGCCTTGAGCATCAACCACCTTGATGTTGAGCTTCAGCGAGAAGCTGACTCTACAATGTCCACTACGTTGGAGAATACAATACGAGCTCCTTGTGGTAATAATAATAATCATCATAATACTTGCATTTGATACAGCACCTTATCATGTCTTCAAGACGTCTCAAAGCGCTTCATAGGATACACTGTAAAGTGAATTGACTGCATATTTTGTGGGCGAAACGCGGCAGCCAATTGCGCACAGCAACGCCCCCCAACAAAGAGCCGTGGATTCAGTGACCAAATTATTATTACTTTTGTAAGGAAATTATTACCCCCGGAAAAGTGATTCGTCAATCGACTAACTATCGGGTTCCCACTTACTGCCGGGTACTCAGAGGCGTGTGGAGTAAGGAAACTTGCCCAACATTTCGCCCCCCGCCCTGGAATCTAACCCAGGTCTCTCGCTTGCGAGGCCAGTGTTCTAACCACTGAGCTACACTTTTAATGCTGGGGCTATTTTTAGTCTTTTAATCAGTTACAGGATGAATTCACTGCGGAATAGAATATTACTGACAGTGGCCTCTCTCTGCGGCTCACAAGATGGGAGCAGATTGCAGGGAAATTCCACAGTGGGCACTATTGCGGGGGGGGGGGGGGGGGGGGGTGCTGGGAGCGAGCATGAGGGGCTAATTTGATTGAAGGAACCAGATGAGAGTATAATGTGTGAGGGCAACATTCAGGAGTCTCTTTCCAATATCTAAGGCTCAAAATCAGATCACAGGCTCAGGAACAAGCTCACTACCTACTGTGTGTTTATAATACAGGACACACTGTCTGGAGCTCTCTGCTGGGTAACTGACCAGACTGTGATTTATTGGCTCTCAGTGGCTGTGTACAGCAGAGCCGCCTATTCTGCATGACGTGTCGAGTAGATTACAACCCTGAGCTGGTCAGAACATGGTCAGAAACTGTTCGTGGTATTAGACAAGGAATAATTTCTCATCACCTTAATATCTAGGATTGTGCCGATTCGTGGTAAGCTCTCAAATTCGCTATTAATTTTATTTTAAACAATAATTTCTCTGCAGTTGTTAAAGAGCCTCTAAACTGGCTTCACACTGAATTGCCAGAAGTTCTGCCTAATAATTAATGTTCAGACATATGGCTGAGAACGTGAGATATTTCTGATCCTACAGCCCCAGGAATAAGTCACCGGGCGAGGATACAGTGGTCCTCGTCCCTCAGAGCTTTGCCATCAGTGTGGTGCTGAGCTGGAGTTGGGATGGTGTCAGACACCACACTGCTCACTGACGTAATACACTAGTTACAATAGCCATTGATCTCGTTATCAATAGTTCTGAGTAATCTCAGGATGTAAAGAGAAGAGACCATGTGTATTGACTGCCATTGGGAACAGCCCAGTTAGGGAATAGCTGGAGGCACTTCACTCACAAAGCTCACTAAACTATACTACCGTATATGAGAAGGGTACAGTACATTGCAGATTAAGGCAACAAAAGGGATTACACCAACACTGGATCACTAGACTAGTAGAAAACCATTTTGGTCCAGCAATTAAAAGCATCTGAATATGTAGATTGCAAGCAAACAGAGCCACATCTGCCCAGCGACACTCTCCGTGATGGTCACCCACTGATTCTGTGAGCGCTGGCTCTCGCGTCAGACTGGACTGAACTGCGGACACTCGGGCACCGGCTCTTTAACTTGTCCCAACATCAGCACAAACTCTCACACGTGAGGTTTCAGTAATTTGTTCGTTCACCAAACTTCTTACAGCGCCGTTAGTTAGGAGATCAATCTGTAAAATGGCTGCTGCCCAGCCCTGGTGCCTGGCGGGCGAGTGTTGGTGCCCTGTGCTAGTGGGAGGCGCGTTGCTGAGCTGACGCCTGGCATTTTATTGCCAAACTGATTCCTTTTGTCTGTTCGGATCAGCTGTTTGAATGGACATTGTTAAAGGTGAGATACACAGCACAGAGCTGCCCAGCCCTGTGCCAGCCTAGCCCTGCCCTGCCCTGAACTAAACACCACCTACACGGAGCCCTGTGAATGGGAAAGGGGGGCGGTGGTGGGGGGGGTGGGTGGCGTGAGGGTCAGCATTCGTCCGGGGGTCCCACTCTGACTCCGCTGCTCTGGACTGAAGGAACTCTCGCGGTCGACGCTACGCAGATTTTGGGGGGGGGGGGGTTCACTTTACTTCGGATAAAAGGAACATTAATATGAAAAGAAACTACACTTAACTGCATGATACACATTTTCATTACACTTATAAAAAAAAATCTATGTACAATTTTTTAAAAAAGGGACTGACTAGAGGAACACTCTCTAACCCCGGGCGTTCTGTCACCCACGTTCCAAGGTAAAGGCTCGACCCCAACATCTAGTCTACATTCTCCTCTCTCTCTCTCTCTCCGCGCGGACTTGCATGACTTAACTCAGGTCAGCCCTTTCTCCTGGTCTAAGGTTAGTATCCTCAGCTGACTATTTTTGTACCTTAAAAGGGCTCGATTTCCACCCTGACGTACTTCTGCCACAAACATGTCCCCAAAGTCAGACAACAGCTAGATTTCTGGATGGATTTCATTTGGGGAACGTCTCTCTCTCTCTCCCCACTCACCTCTCGCCCCCTTCCTACCCCCACCCTCCCCAGGCAATGGCTGATCGGAGGCAGTAAGAGGTGCAGCGAGGGAAACACTGCACGGAATCATTTTCAGTTTTTGTTCCAAGGCCCAAAATATCTCCGTGGTCACAGCCTCAAGACCATCATCTGAAAGTCAGTCGGCGAGAGACTGAGAAACGTTCTGGAACTCAGCCTGGATTTGGATTCCACGTCACCGCAGTGTTAATCGCAAGCCGCCTCCCAAATCAATAATATAATAATAATAATTTTCACATTTGTTACAGCGCTTTTTCATGTCTTCAAGATGTCTCAAAGCGCTTCACAGAATATACTATAAAGTATGGTGACTGTGTGTTTTGTGGACGAAACGCGGCAGCCAATTGCTCATAGTCGTGTACCCCAAGCAGTTGTGGATCGAGTCCCCAAATTATTACCAGATCCAGACTAAATCTCACAATTTTCTAAAATTCTGTACATGCTTAGGTCTGCGACAAGGTGCTGGAGGCTGACAGAGCGAGTGAGGACTCTCAGGCCTGAGTTCTGTTCGATACCCAACCATCAGTAAAGGGCGTGACTGTGTGACTGGCAGCTTAGCTTGTCTGCTCAGTAAAGTGCTCCCTTCTCCTCAGCTCAACAGGTCAGGCAGATGATGAAGAGTTTTCAGAGTGACCATGTTACTGATCGGACCCGAACCAAACACAAGTGCTTGTTAATTTTTTACGTTTAAAGCTCTCTCCCGTCTCTCATCTGAGCATCACGCTGCCCCCCCACCCCCACCACCCCACAAAATCCAAAGCCTACAGTCCTCTGAGGAGACCTGGGGGCTGTTCCACAGTTCTCTCCGCACGTACCAGCAATGATCAGCAAGGAATGGTGATGTGGTGGTGTGGGGAGGAGGGGCCGGCGGGGAGCGTGTGGAGAGAGAGAGTCACGTTTCTATGTTACTCTTCACACACAAAGGCTGTAACTGAGCTTTCAGTGAGAGCCTTGTACCCGAGTCTGCTTCAACATTTCTGGGGGGAAAACTACAAAATTCGCAAACCCGACTGGAGGAGCTAACTGCGAGATTTGCTAACCCCAGGAGATAACTACTGAACCACAGGCTGGATGTCGCTCCCCCCACCCCCATCGATTTAATTCAGAGCTTCCACAGTGGCCGAGGGCAGGTGACACTTTACCCTTTAGAGCTTCATCACTTAACATAATACAACCATCAATCACTGAGAAGCTACCGTCTCACACTACGTTTAAGTAATTCTCTGCCTGTGGGGGGGGGGGGGGTGGTTAGCTTACTATTCCCCACAAGTGAGGGTGCCGCATTCGCACGTATCTCTGGCCATGTCGCTGCCTGGTGGGGGTGGCAGCCAACGCTGGCTGAACAATGCAAAGCGAGCACTCTCCAGTATAAAACACCACGAGGGCCAGTCAGTCACCGAGGCTGAACCGCAGTCTAATTGTGACTTTCAAAAACAATTATCTTACAAACCTGGTCAATAGGTGAACCAACTGATAACTAGTTAACATTATAAATCACCCAGGACAGCGTTTAAAAATAAGGCTCCATTTAAACCGCCCTCCAGCTCTCTCTCTCCCTCCCTCCCTCCATCGCCCCAGGGTTTGAGGCGAGAGAGAGAGAGAGAGTGTTTCTCTCAGCGCTTGTGTGTGTGTGTGTTTGTTCTTACAGGTCAGTAACCTGCTCCAGAGGGAGACAGGACAGGACAGAAAGGTTGTGGTTGAACAGACTAGGTCCAGCTGTAGTGTTACCAGACCACACAGCACCTCATTTGGCCCCAGGACAGACGGGATTCCGTCCTGTGTCACTGAGACGGGAGCTAACGAGCCTCGGTCTGTGCAGGCCACAGGCTCGGTGCTGATGGCCATCAACCACAGGTCACTTTCTCTCCAGTTTGCCTTTTGCAGACACTCATTCCCTCTGCACACAGAGAACTGCCAAACCCTGTAGGCTCCAGTGACTGGGTCATCAAACCCCACCACTCCCCCAGGAGCTGATCTTATCTACCTCCCCTTCTCCTCTCCCAGTGATTGAGTCCAACTCCCCCACGGCTGGATTGAGCCTGAGCTCACCCCACCCCCCGACTACCCCATCCCCATGGTTTGGGCCTCTCTCTCGCTTCAAAAGACAAACCTGAAAGAACTGGTTACTGTAGTCTGGGGTCAGGTCCAACTGCGCTGAGTGTACAGCCATGTGGAGCCAGCGTCGTGATCAGCCGGCCTCAGTCCGTCTCTGAGAAACAGCAACAGGAAAGGGGGCGGTCTCCGCGACGGTGATAGGCCAGGGCGGGCAGCAGCACTGGGTTTGCCTTCAGTCTGGCTAGCCCGACCTGGCCTGGTCTGGCGTCCGATCTGCCCAGGGCTGGAGATGTAAGAGATAAGTGGCGTCCAGCAAACAAAGGTGAGGCTGCAGTCGGTGGAGTTGGGGGAAGAGAGCGAGAGAGAGATGGGCCAGGCAGGAAAATGGCCCCTGGGGATGCAGACACGTTCCGGTGGCAAAAAGCTGGCACCGACCAACCGACCAACCGGACTAGAAATACTGCTCTGGTCAACTCCTTACAGCTGCCTCGTGTTCATGTTTTGTTGCTTCTGGGAGGGGTTTTCTGTCCGACCGGAAAGAAAAAAAAAAAAAAAATTGCTTTTTTGATATTTTTCCCCATTTTAGTTCTTCCTGGAGAAGGTCAGGAACAGAGAGCAAACGCCTCCCCTGAAAGTCATCTCGTCCAGTCACATCTCACCTCGCCGCCTGTTTTCCCAGCCCGGTTCCCGATGGTTTCACCTGAAGGCCTGTCCCCCTGCGGTGTCCGGCGAGCTGCTCATCCCGTCCCTGCCCTCGTTCACTAAGGAAAACTCGGCAAAATCCGCCCCGCCCGGCCTCACCCTCAGGTTGACCTGCCCCCCCGCTCCGCTGCCGAAAGCCGGAGCCATCTCCCCCGCGGAGCCCGCAAAGTGCAAGCGGGCGGCCTGGCCGAAGGCCCCCATTTGGTGGTCTCGGTGGCTGGGTGGGTCCTCGCGCTTCTTCTGCGAGGCCACCTGCTCGATGAAGTCCTGGGGGGCCGGCACGTTCCCCCCGCCCGTCACCGTGGGGATGAAGGCGAAGGAGGGCTGTTGGGCTTCCCCTACCAGCAGGCTGTACGGAGACTTCTGCGTGGGCAGCCGGAGGGAGGAGGTGAGGTCCGGCCTGAAGCCGTGCTGGGTGACCATGGTGGCAAACACCTGCCTCTCCAGTGTGGAGAACAGGGGCTGCACCTGGAGGCTGCCCCCCAGTGCCTGGTTCTCGGCCTCGTATGCCAGGCCTTGCTCGGCCGAGTAGTTGTCGTTGTGGCAGGTTCTCTCGAGTGCCTGCTGCAGGAACTTGGAATACTCGTGCAGCATGTTGCAGTTATCGGGGGCCGGGGGCTGTCCGCCCTCGCTCACTCTCTCCGCCGGAGGCACCTCGGGGATGTCGGAGGAGCTGACGGTGATGTTGGAAGCCACTTGGCTGTCGTTGACTGAGAAGGGCACCTGCCCGTTGGCCTTGTTGGTGTAGTGATCGAGCAGCGTCTGCAGCACCTCGTCGGGGATACCGCTCTTATCCTGCCCGCCCTTGAGCTCCGCGCCGCCCGGCCCCTGCACCATCATGGAGGCCGCGGAGCTGTTGTCGGGGGCGGGGGGCACGGGGGGCTGGGACACGGCCGGCTGGCTGGCGATCTGGCCCTCGGACAAGGGGAAGTCCCTGCTGGCGCTGGTCACCCCCTGCAGGAAACGCTTCTTCTTCACGAACTGCATGGCGTCGTCGTAGTTGCTGCTGCTGCCCGGCTTGCGGGAAGGGTCCGCGCTCTGCGCCTCCTCGATCCCTAGCAGCTCGGGGTTGTCCACCATGCCGTAGCCGTACTTGTTGACCTTGGCCGGGTCGTAGCTGCCGGTGACGGACATGTTGGGTGCCAGCTGCTCCCCCGCCTTGTGGCTCTTCTTGGCGTTGACTTTCTTGAGGATGAGCTTCGGGGGGTTGAGGCTGGCGTTGTTGTGGTAAGCTTCCCCCAGGGCGTCAGTACTGTGGGACGCGTGAGCAATCACCAGGGAACATTGTTCCACTTTGTACTCATCTTTCACTTTCAAGTTGCTGGTGTAATAGTCCATGCAATCGCCTTTATCCCCCTTGTTCTCCCCGCGGCCCAGGCTCTCCTCCTTGTTGGAGCCGGGCAGTGTGGATTTCTCCGCGGCCTTGAGCTTTTTCCTGGGATTCCCGCCTTCCTTCTGGAGCGCCAGGAAGCGGTCGTCAGCGTTGATGGTGAGGATGATGGGCTCGGTTTTCACCGCAGGGCTCTTGCCGGGGGTTTTCCCTTGATTCTCGTGGCACATTCTTCTGTGTTTTAGCAAACGGTCAGTTCTAGAAAAATGCTGCAAAGGAAAGTGCGTTACATAGATAACAGCAAGTAAAGTGCTTTTACTGTAATAATAATCCTTGCGTTTTGATATCACCTCTTCAAAATGTCTCAAACGCTTCACAAAACATACTGTGAAACTGACTGCATATTTTGTGGGTGAAACGCGGCAGCCAATTGCGCACAGCAGCGTCCCCACAAACAGTCGTGGACTGTGTGACCAAATTATTATTATTATTATTTTGAAGGGATCCTTACCCTTGGGAAAGTAATCCGCCAATCGACCAACAACCGGATTCCAGTGTCCTGCTTGGTAACCAGAAGCGCGTGGAGTGAGGAAACTTGCCCAAGGTTTCGTCCCGCCCAGGAACCAAACCCAGGTGTCTCGCTCGCGAGGCGAGTGCTCTAACCACTGAGCGACAGGACTCCACGGAGTCCGCGGGTCGGAAGGTTGACACTTCAGTGCGTTGCTGGGAGAGCACAGCGTGGTCACTGTCAAGCTTGGCCTCGAGCTACGCTGGGAAGTTCCTCTCTCTCCGGGACACCATCGGAGACTCGAGTCCGAAGGCTTTCTTCGACACAACCATCGTGGGGTGCGACGCTGGCTCTCTCGTGCCACCCACTGGGCGTTCTGAGGACTGCGGGGACACCGCTGGTCCTTCGCACCGATGAGTTGGTGCATCGATTGGGTGTGTGATAACAATAATAATAATCCTGGCGGTTGACGCAGCCCCTTGTCACGCCTTCGGGACGCCTCAAAGCGCTTCGCAGAACGCACCGTAACGGGAGCTGACTGCGTTTTGTGGGTGAATTACGCAGATAAAGGCGCGTTGTCAAATGCAAGGATTGTTATTGTTGTATGAAGAGGGTAACTGAGGAGCGAGCGGGTGGGTTGGGCCCCAGCGAGCGCATGGCCTTTACCTGGAGGCAGTATTCACACTGGTACGGTTTCTCCCCACTGTGCGTGCGCTTGTGCCGCTCCATGTGGTATTTCTGAATAAACCTCATGTCACATTCATCACAGTGGAATGGCTTCTCACCTGCGGGATCAGAGCGAGAGAGAGAGAGAGAGAGAGAGAGAGACTCTATGAAGCACACGTCTCCAGTCTATTCACAAGATCTTCTGAGCCCGAGAGGTTGCCAGGAAACAGCGCAGATTACAAAGAGCCAAACACAAACACCATTTTCCATTTAATTTGACCTGGCCATTTTTTAGCTGACGGATTTCTCTCCTTGAACCGGGGCTTTAATCTGGTGAAGTAAAGTAGTGCAACAGGGATAAAATAATGGTTGTAAAGGTGTCAATAAGCATAGCAGCCTCTCACTATCGGATCTTTTAGGAGCATTACAGGAAGGAGGGAGGGAGGGAGTGGGGGGTTACAGGTTATCACATCCACAAACAATGCACGTTATATCAGAAGTTGCAGTACAGGCCAGCATTATAGAGGACACGTTACACACATTGTAATGTACAGTTTTGTTATTAAAGAGCAAGCCATGAAAATTCAGGTTGTGTGGCAAATGCAGCAAAGTCAGATTCGCACAAGCAACAGGTGCCTGATGTAATACAGCATTAGTTAGAGGCTGGTTACAGCTCGCAGAGCAGAGGGGTGGCGGAGCACAGTGAGAGGCGCTGCAAACAAGAGCATCACAGTGGGGCAGTCGCACAGAGGGCAGCCCAGGACAGAAAGCGCTAGAGTGTAGTCCTGTTTTGCCGAGAAAGCCCAGAGTCACAGCAGAGGGCCCCAGACACAGCGAGTCCTCTGAACAACAGCTTCTTTCGGCAGCAAAGCAGCCACCCTTTGCGACGAAGCATGATTAATTGGAAAGTTTGCATGCCAGAGAAGCTCTAGCCATGGAATTCCTTGTCCTGAGAAGGGAAAGAAGCTAAAGAGACAATATCCCTCTTTTCCTCCCTCACTGAAGTTGTAAAGTCCCGAAGAACAAAATTAAATCGGCCCTGAGCTGGGCTCTGAGAAAAGTGCCAGGACCTTTCTGTAACAAATTCTCGTCAAACGCGATCAAAACGAACGTGGCAGCCAGATTTGAGCAACAGAAACCTTCTCACGCAGACTGAAGTGAGCCTTTGAAGTGAGCCTTTGGAGTGCACAGGAGCAATGCCCCACCTTTACACAAGGCAAGATGGTTTGTGGTGGGTGGGGAGGGGAAAAAAACCACTTTGGTTTATTTATTCGATAGAAACCTTTTTGGTTCCGTACGTTTACCCCAAACCACCACCACCACCACCACCACACACATATCTGCAGGTACATCTTACCCACCTGGTATGAAGGAAGAGAGTTGGTAAAGAGTTTGAAAGGTGATACGGCCTCTCTCTCTCTCTCTCATATAGTCAAATACCTTGAAATATCCTGAAATTTTGCAGTCAGATCAATATCTAAAGAGCAATGAGGTTCCGGTTTGAAGTGTTAGTTACAAATCCCACCTACGTGTACAACGACCAGCAAAGATACCCTTTTTCTGTATTCACGGTAAGGCCCAAAGCCCACAACTGCAGCGGTTAATTTGATTTTGAAAGCATTTTAACACTTGTGCTCTCTCTCTCTCGTACTCTCTTCTGTCTAGCTCAACAAAAGGGATAATGTCTCTTTAAGGAGTTTCACAGATGCTATGCCTCACATTGCCAGCCTTGGGCTCCTGGCTATTGCACTTACCAGTGTGTATCTTCTCATGTCTCTGGAGCAGGTACTTCTGGATAAATCGCATGCTACATTGGCTGCATTGATATGGCTTTTCACCTAAAAGCAAAACAAAATCCAAATTTCTGCTCTGCTCACTCAGGATGTAAATACCTCGAATGATTATTATACTTTCCCAGAGACGTGGGAAACCTGCGCTTCACCTCAAAGCGGAGAAACTTTTTAAACAACAATACGCTCTTACCGTGAAGCTCCTTAGCTGAACAAAGCTCAACTCTATGACTTCTTTTTAATAAGATTTAAAAAAAAGAATTCAAATAAAGAGACACTATCCCTTTTTGTTGGTCCACAAAAGTCCGGCTTAGCAAACTAGCACTAGACACACAAGCACAGCTCACCAATAGCTCCCCCTCCCCGACACCCCCCACCCACCCTACCCGCACAAAATGTTGAAATAATTTCACAAAAGGCGACAAGTGAAAATGCGTTGTGATATTTAATGGTCTTGTAGTCACACCGTCTCTGTACACACACCAAACTCCTGCTGTACCTGGAATTTTTCACGATCCTAGCTTTAATCTCATCGTTTTAAAAGTGTAAGAATTTTGGAAAACTCTTCGACTCGGTCTTTACGTGGAGTGAAACAGCAGGAAACTGACTGGCTTCTGGTATTACCCCTGAACAGCTTCTGGTTTCGGTCACTGCTGTGTGAGATATTGGAAGCGGATCCTCCAAACAAGACATACGACTCGCTGAAGCTGACTGCCAGTGTTTACGGTCAACTAGACACACAGCAATGCTCACAAACTACTTGCCCCTTCAGCTGATCATTAAGGGAGATTTTACACAGAACCAGTTCATTCTGCTCTTCAAGTTGCGTTTCACACCCGAAGGTGGTTCAGACCCTTTGCTTCTGAACACCTCAAAAGCGCTTCACAGGGAATTGCTGTAAAATGTAGTGACTGTGAGTTCTGTGGGAAAACGCAGCAGCCAATTTTGTGCCAGCTTTGTCCCAAAACAGTCATGAAGTGAATCATCAATTTTATCTGAGGGAGACTGTCGGGAGAGAGAAATTCTTCTCGTTTTGAAGAGTGCTGCTAACGTCCACCTAAAGAGGCACCGAGCGGTTTAAAGTCTCACCCAAAGGACGGCACTTCCAGTAGTGCAGTACGATTGGAAACGCAGTCTAGTCTGAGCTCAGAGTCTTAATGTGGGACATGAAACCCACAACTTTCTAACTACCGACTGAGTCAGAATAATCATTAATGTGTGGAAAGAGCCAGCACACAATGGTCTGAATGGCCTCCCTCTGTGCTGTAAATGTCTAACTCTCGCATGGAGCAAAACACCAGCACAGAACCGTTGGCCAAACGACCTGTTTGTGTGCTGTAACATTCTGTGACTGTGGATAATATCATGACTATGATCTCACCCCAAGCTCCTCGCTATGTGTTCAGACTCCCTGCGGAGATCACAAGCGATCATGCTGTGTCCAATGCTCTGCTCCGGGGCCAGGAATGTGGTATCTGCTGGCTCCAGGTCCCATTGAGTTCACACTTTGTAACATCCAACATTCCTCTTACCCTCCACTGCGATGGGCCATGTGCCTACAGACAAGCTCTCCTCTCCCAGAGTCCTGTAAACAGCGGACGGACATGGGCCCCTAGTCACTGATGGCCTCGGGTATTCAGCCACGGGACGGGGTGCCAGGGACCGGCTACTTTTGCTCCCTCTCAAAAGACGAGGCCATCTCCTGGGCCTTGTTTGTAACCTGACATGTTCTGTGGTTTATTGGCTTCAATGTCCTGTCCAATCTAAAGTTTATGGCATAGCATCCACCTGCCCTCAGCAGTCTGACACGATGAGATCCTAACAAGTCAATTATGTTGCACAGCCTGGTACAACGTTCTCTCTCTCTCTCTCTCTCTCTGTACGTACTGCAATCCCTTTCTGGTGTTGTATTACAACGCTGCCTATGATGATTTTGTAAACCACTTCCACAGTTTACACGAAGGGCCGTAAAATGGCCGCCCGCTGAGTGAGCAGGTCAGACACGCGCACAAGAAATGCCACTGACATCACTTCCTGTGAGTAAAGCGAGATCAAGGCCATGTCCTGTGTATAAAGCTCGCACGCAGTGCGCAGGTAGTGATGTCAGCAGCACTTCCTGTCCATCGGATGACCAGAAGTTGGCCATTGTTAGTAGCGGAGCCCACTGGTCAGGGCCGAGAACTGGGGGTATTGAGCTTCTGGTTAGCACAGATCCACAGTTAGCACATGGTTATCACACAGACCTTCGTGCCCAACTGAGACACCTTATAACAGGGACCACCCTCTATATACAAACACAGCTTCACTGAATACCTGGACACTCAACAGAACAAAACACATGAGGCGAGAATCTGGTAAAGGAGATATGAAACGATTCACTGTAGGAAACATTCAGCTTGTACTTCGTCACAGAGTTTGATGTCAAGACATTGATAAATATGTTGGACTCAGCCCTCCTGGGATACTCTTAAGCGCGCGATGGTGGGTTTCTGGCACCCGGCTGACCCCAAAGAATGGAACACGGCAATGCTTCAATACTTGCAGCTAAGCTAGAAACTACTTCAAGTAAATCATAAAGCGGATAGAACATTGAAACATCAAAAAGCTTCACGGGTAATTACTGTGAACTGTAGTTAGTGACTGTGTGTTTGTAGGTGATCACGGCAGCCAATTTGCAGATAGCAACATCCCACACAAACAGCCATGAATCACTTTTATCTGAGGGTTGGTGGTCAAGACTCCGGGGGAGAGAGAGAGAGAGAGAGAGAGAGAGACACACACTTAACAATAGCCTCACCGGATCTTTAACATCCACCTGAATAAGCACAGGCAGGACCTTAGTTTTTGACGTCTTAACTGAATGAGCCTGGTGTGCACTGAAGTATAATAAGGGACCTGGGCAAGTGAGGAGAAAGCGATCTTAGCCAGGATTCTTCCCATCAGTACATCGCACTCTCTCCCCCACAGACACTCCACTGGAAATACACATGTTGCTGTTCTGAGAAGATGTTGTTCGACTTAAAACTGTGAGCATCTCCACAGTCCAATAGATTGTGGATACTCACTAGACAGGAACACTAACCACTGGGGGTGATAACTAGTGTCTGTCAACTGATGAACTGTACCACGAGCCTCAGAACAAGAGGTGAGAAAATGGGAATCTTTTAAAAAACAAAGTATATTAAATGCCCAGCAGCGAAGACAAGCTCGTCAGGTGGCACCACATATAATGATTTCATGTCAAAAAACGCTTCAGAAAATTTAACTGATTAGAAATGAAATGAATGTTATGACAGAAGCTAAAGCAGTAGCTAATCTGCCCAGAGATGCGCCACAAAGAGATGAGGTAGTTCATTTGAATTTAAGAGTCAATTTGAATAAAGAAGGGAATATAAACCAGGGTAACCAGGAGACAGAGTCCGGAGCTTGTACAACACCAACTACAGGGTAGCGACCCAGAGGCAAGGGGGGGTGGGGGGGGAAGAGAGGAATAGGAGTGAGTGGCTGTCCTCACTCATGTCCTTTGGTAAATGTCAAATGCAAATGTAGTCAAATTTAGAGACAAAATGTTGATGCCATTTTGTCCAGGAAAGAAAACGGCCACAATTCCAACTGCAAACGATGACAGAGGCGCAAACCACAGCACAACAACTACAACAACTAGTATTTATACAGCGCCCCTCACACAGTGTAGGTCCCAGAGCTGCTCGAGGCAGTCAGCATCAGACAGTGAAGCACTTCAGTACTTCAGGCTGCCTTTACACTTGCATAGCGCCTTTCACGTCAGGAGGACGTCAAGAGCACTTTCTCTTCATTTCACATGGCCACCGTGTGTAACTCTTATCTTTTTTGTCTCTGACACGAGAGAACTCGCGCTGGGGCTGTCTTCAAAGAACACAATCAGATAACTGCATAAAACAACTTGCGTTGACATAGATCACAAACTCCCTTCACATCCGGTAATATCTAGCGAGTGCCCAGCAAGGTGGCAATCCTCTCATAAATTATTAGAAGAATTGACGCCAGTGTTCGGACTTTAAACAGCACAAGCTTCTCCATCAACCTCACCTTCCCATTCAATTCAACACAGGCGCCTGATTTACCAATACTTTGATCGCCATTTAACAAACAAAATTTAATCTCCCCCCCCCACTGAAAAAAATGAATATATTGATGACGTTTGCCAGGATGTAGGAAAGAAGTTTAAAACATGAATTTACTGTATTTCACACTGTTAAAAAAATGTATGTTTTTTGGGGGAAATATTCAAAATGTGAAACAAGATATAAAGGAATTCAGAGTTTACACAGAATAAAAGATCAGAGGTCACACAGCACGGTTTCACTGATGATTTCTGTGGAAACATGTCCCAATGTGGTGTAACCTGTGGTGCAAATGCTAAAGGATCCGCAAATCCCAGATGCCTTGTTGCTGCCTCTCCTGCCCGGACACCAATCCCAGACCCGACTTCCCTGGAGCCGGCATCCGAGCAGCAGTCCAGGGGATCAGTCAGGACACGCTGGAACTCACTAACTGGGAACCTTTGCGAGGGCTGCAGTCGGGATGGTGCAGAGACGGTGACTGTGGTGGGAGCTGTTGTTCTCACTGTGCTCAGGCTCTGTGCTCTACCTGTGTGGGTCACAATGTGTTGCTGTGGCTGGGGTGGGGGGGGAAGCTGTGGCCGGAGGGGGGTGGGAGCTGTGAGCTGTGGATGGGGAATGTGCGGGGGGGGGGAGCTGTGGACGGGGGAAAGGGGGAGAGAGCTGTGACTGGGGGAGGGGGGGAAGCTGTGACTGGGGGGGGAAGGAGCTGTGACTGGGGTTTGGGGAGTTCTATGCTCTGGGCTGTACCTGTGTGGATCAGGATGTGCCGCTGCAGGTGGTAGTTGGTCCGAAAGGCCGCACTGCATTGCTCGCAGATGTGAGTCTTGGGAGATTTGACCATAAAGGAGCCGTCTTCACCCACCACAAGAATCTGAAGGGAAGCACAGTTTGTACATGATGTTCAGCAAGCTTAAAGCAGTCACCGGCAAAACACACAAATGTTCTCACCCTCTGCATGGTCAGTGGTGGTATACGAGACACGCACAACAGCTTCTGATACACAAGATAGACAAGTCAAACCACAGACTGTTACACACAGACACCCAATCTGCCCGTGTCTGTGCTGCTCTTTGAAAACTACCACTTACCTGCCTTTTTCCCCCACACCCCTCCCTACACATTACTCTTCCCTATCTGCCTGTCTATCCTATAATCTGTCTGATCAAATCTCTCTCTATGCGGATGATAAAGGTGAGCTGCCGAACTAGACACAACTAGAAGACACAAAACTGTAACTACAATAACTTGCATTTATATATAGACACACACACACACACACACACACAGGCCAGGGTTCCTGAGCATCACCTCTCGTTGTCATATTGTCCCTCATTTGTAAAACCTACCATCTTCCCAGCTTCCCCATCAGAGCTTTATGTACGTTAGCCCCTCGGTCTCTCTGCTCTCCCCCCAATGCATAGAACCTCACGGTGTCAAACTGGGATATGTGATGTGATAGTTAGCACACTGGGGTTATTCTTGCTCCTGACTGGAACAGGTCCTCAACTTCACTCAGAGGAACGGTAGGTATATTGCACCTATCACACCACATGTGACATTTTCACCCCAGGTTTAATCTCTTCGTGTGACCCTCTCTCCCTCCCGCCCCATCCTCCCTCTCGCTTACTTTTGAAGTCGTGCGGATTTTCTTATTCTTCTGTTTCTTCATGAAGTCCTCGTGTTCCCTCAGCTTCATAAACTCCTCGTGTTCCCGGAGCTTCATAAAGTCCTCGTGTTCTCTCATCTTCACCAGGTCTTGATGCTCTCTCAGCTTCAGGAGAGTCTCGTTCTCTCTCAGCTTCAGCAAGTCTTCCTGCTCTCTCCGCTTCTTCTCATCCAGCTGGCTCATTCCCTCAGGCCCCCGGCCTTTCCCCAGAACCTTTACCAAAAGGAGAAACAAATCATTAGCCGGCCTGGAGAGTAAGCGAGCACAGAATAGTGTTTCATAATAATAATCCTTGCATTTTGATATTGCATCTAAGTGATTAGATGTGATTATGTGCAAAGCACTTCACGGAATATGCTGTAAAGTGTAGTGACTGTATATTTTTGGGGTGAAACCTGGCAGCCAATTGCACACAGCAATGTCCAAACAGATGTGGATTGAGTGACCAATTTATTATTATTTTGTTTTGAAAAAGCGATCCTCCAATCGACTAACAACCAGGTTCCTAATTAGTGCTGGGTGAACAGGAGTGTGTGGAGTAAGGAAACTTTTACCAACATCGCTCTGCCGGGAATCGAACCCATGTCTCTCGCTTGCTAGGCGAGTGCTCTAACTACTAAGCTACACAACTCCATTATTACACAAAGTGTACAGCACACCACACGATAGCACAAAAGGCTGTGTAAATGGTGCTTTGTGGCCAAGTACAGTAGTAAAACACCTTTTTCTATTCCAACCAAAGGCATGAAATTCATCCTGCTCTGAGCTTTAGGATCACTGGATCCCCAGACAAACAATATAGATCAAACCACGACTGCAGTTCCTCATACTTCACACCTTTGACAGAAACTGAATAATTAGATTAAAAACTTGACTGAATGCATCCTCGTCTCTTGGGGTATGTAGGGTTCCTTCTGCGTAAAACTGATCCTTTTCTAACGTTATAGATGTGACCTTCCGTGTCAATCTATCATCTGTGAATCTAGTAAAAATGACAGGGAAGCTGACTGCAGGAAGTGCCTCTCCTGTGATGTAGACATTCCATCTGGTCTTCATTTCCCCCCCCTTTCAAGTCTTCTCTTCTCTCTGCCGTGTCTGCCGTGTGGAATGGTGGGAAGTGTTGTGAAGATCTCTTTACAGGAAGAGTCCTTGCTGGTCAGAGAAACTCTCTTGCAAATACTAAGTCACAAAAGGCCTCAATCGTAGATTCTCTCAAATCACCAGTTTTGCTCCTGTCTGAGTTGCACGACGATATCAAGTAACAGCTTCTGTCACTTTGCCTCTTGCTGTTGCTGCAGTCGGTGCTGGAGGTCACAGAGGCGAGTCCGTGACTGCGATTGCTTTTGTTGAAGGAATTCTGGGTTAGGAACGCCAGCAACTAGCCTTTTCCCCGTGTGTTTTCAACAGGAATCAGCTTTGGATCATGTTATAATAATAAGTGCCTTGGGATGTCCTCCCGACGTGAAAAGCACTTTACAAATGTAATTTTGTTGTTAGGAACATGGGAAAACAGGAACAGGAGGAGGCCATTCAGCCCATCGAGCCTGTTCCACTAGTTTATCAGATCTTAGCAGATTTTTCGATCCCAGTACCCTGTCATTCCGCCAAACCCTGGAATCCCTACACTCACCCCGGGCTGTGTCTCTCTTCAATTCCATCTTTACAGCTTTTTGAGGCAGAGACGACAGCAACAAATTACTTGTATAAGCAACCCTTTCACATCGGAAAAACACCCCAGAACGCTGGGTTCCCCCCAACGTCACAAGCTTCTGTGTGAAGAGACCCTGCATGACTGGGCTTTCGGTCAGCTTTTGCCTCCCACACGCACAGCTCGTGTTGTCAAATGCCTTGGGACATCCTTCTGCGGTGAAAGACGAGAACTGTAAACTTGTGTTGCAGTTTTAATTCTACTGTCCAGGTTCTGGGAAGGTTCTGCCCCCGTGTCACAGATCCCTCTACCAGAGACATGCGTCGTACACTGTCTGTCAATTCCTTTCGTTATTAGAACAAAACAATGATAATTAAAAATCACCCTTAACCTCCTATGCTCTAAGGAATATAACCCCAGTCTCCCTAACATCTACCTCTGAATCCTGTAGTGTAGGTGAGTAGTTAGAGCGCTCACCTCGCAAGCGAGAGGACCTGGGATTGATTCCCGGCCGAAACCTTAAGCAACTTTCCTTCCTCCACACACACACACACGCACCACACACAACATGCGTACCACACAACACGCACACACGCGCACCCCTCTGTTTACCTAGCAGAAGGTAGGAACCCTGCTGTTAGTCGATTGGCGGATCGCTTTTCCGGGGGTAACTCATCACACGGTGTGAAACGTGCAGGCGCGACTATAAAAGGCTATCGAGACCGAGTCAGCTACGACATTTAAAAGGAATAAACAGTCGAAGAATGAAGATATAAATAAATGGGCGACAGGAAACAACAACAAACAGATTAACTAACGCCAGGGAACCAAGACAACACAGCAGAGTGCCAAGTGCTCTCCTTCTGTGATTTTACACACACTGATTATCGTTCTAATCTACAGTAATCCTGGCAAATACCGTCTGTGACCTGACAGGACAATAATAGTAATAACAATACAACAATAATAATCATAACAATAACAACAATAATAACGATAATAACAATAACTATAACAATGATAATAATAATAATTTTGCATTTGATATAGCGCCTCATCACATCTTCGAGACGTGACAAAGTGTTTGAGTGGATTGAGCACCCAAATTATTATTATGTTTGAGGGATTATTATATTACAATATAAAGAGCTGAGGTACCTGGGACACACAGGTCACTCCCTGCGCCATCGTCACAGCCCCATTATTGCCGTCTCCCTCCACACGTCTGATGGTATCTCCGGGCAGCATGAGGTTGCCGTCCGTTAGCATTCCCTGGCGACCTAGTGCTTGGCTCTGCAGAGGGCCGTGGGAACCCACTATGGTCTGATTGACCGACAGTCCACTTTGCCTGCTGTTGTCCCGCAAGATGGCATTGTCCACCAGGGCTTCCTGTCGGGCTGCTCCTCTGCGCTCCAGGAGAGGGCCCTGTCCACCTAGCGGGACACTGGAGTGATCGGAGATTCCATCCACTCTACTCATCTGGCTGGAAGACTGCAAGTCAAACATATCCAGCCATTAAACATCAGCCTGAACCCAACGCGAGCACAGCTACAACTTACACCCCGAGCCACAGCATCAGAGACAGTCACAGCACAGAAGGAGGCCATTCGACCCCTGGTGTTGGTGCCGACTCCCTTAAGCGCAATCCTTTCAGTCGCACTTCGTTGACTCTTTAAGGTAAGTGTCTAGTTCAGGGATAACCTATACAATAATGAACTTTGTATTTGATATAACACCTTATCACATTCTCCAAACACCTCAAAGAGCGTTGCAGATTTACAGTAAAGTGTGGTGATCATATTTGATAGAGCTTTCACATAGCATAGCATCTTGAGGTGCTTTACACTGACAATGTGGATGAATGAGCAGTCAGTCAGTGTGTGTGTTTCAAGCTGCCTTCCTGTCCTGGGGACAGTGAGGAGAGCAGACAGGGGGGAAAATCTCGCTAGGAATCAGTTTGAAATATCCTCCACCGCAGTGTGAGTGGGTCAAGATCAATTATTCATAGCTTGCTTTACATGACACAAGTCAGACCGAAAGTTATGAAAATTTCAGTAGAGCCACAGCTAATGAATCCTACAGACAGGGAGGGAGGGAGGCTCTGGAGTACTGGAACTATCAGGACTGAATTTTACCTTTTCAGCAAAGGTGTCGGCACTCACACGAGTACAAGACCAGGAGCAGGGATTCAGACAGAAGTAAATATTGGGGGTTTGACAATCTTGGTTAAAAAAGCACTGAAGCAAATCTGCAGTGAAATGATGAAAAACTCATTCTGTTGCCCACATCATCATCATCATCATCATAATAATCCCTGAATTGTCAGGTCTTCGAGACATATCAAAGCCCTTCACGCTGTAAAGTGTAGTGACTGTGTGTTTTGTGGCTGTCTCATCCATGATTGATCATATAGTTATAAATCACACCCAGGCTTCACGCTTTGTATAAACACAAACTGGGTGAGGGGAGGATTGTACAGGGGAAAAGGGATGTCAAAAAATAAACCAGGGATGTTAGACACAGCAGCGCACACTCCCACATCTGCTGGACACGGCACCCATTAATATTTATCATATTTTGTTTTATAAAATATGCATTTTCCTCCAGGGCTAAACTGTCGCGTGATGCCCTCAAACCCGACAACAAACTGAAGCAATCAGCCCTGGTTACACACTGAGCTCTCGGCCACACAATACAGCCACAACTCCCGAGTAAGGTGTAACTGACAATACCATAGGCAAGTTTCCTTACTCCACACACACGTCTCTGTTTACCAGCAGTTAAGTAGGAGCCCGCTTGTTAGTCGATTGTCAGATCGCTTTTCCGGGGGCAATAACCCCTCCAAAACAAACAACAATTTGGTCACTCAATCCACGATCGTTTGTGGGGACACTGCTGTGTGTAATTGGGCCACGTTTCACTTACAAAATCTACAGACACACCACTTTACAGTGTATCCTGTGAAGTGCTTTGAGACGTCTGAACGAAATGATAAGACCTGTGTCAAATGCAAGGATTATTATTGTAACTGGGTAAAAAACTGAGTAAACTCAAAGCACCAGGACATGAGGGAATACATCCCCAGAGAAACAGGAGGAAATTAATGAAACTCAAGAGATTATATCTCATGAGTCAATGGGGGCAAATTATATAGCAGAAGACTGGAGATTGGCTCATGTCAAACCCATCTTCAAGAAGTAGGAGAAAGCTAATCGGGGTAATTAGAGGTCCGTTAGTCTGACATCTGTAAGTAGGAACTATAATCAAAGACTCAATTACAGATTTTATTGAGGAGGAAATTTTGGATGGAGTAAGTGTCAGAATGGGCTTCAGAACCAAAGAGCCCGTTACAATATTTTGAAGGGGAACAGAAGTGGTTGATGGGGGACATGTGGTGTACAGGGGACTGTCAGAAGACATTTGACAAAAGACTTGTGGCTAAAGTCAGGGCCTATAGGATCAAAGGGAAGACTGGCAAAAGGACAGAGAGGATACAGGGAGAAAATAGAGAGCAGTGGTTAAAGGCAATTACTCAGATTGGAAAGCTGTGGTGAGCCCTGTTCCTCGGGCATCTAATCTGGGGTTGTTACTTTTCACCCTGCATATAAATAATTTTGACCTAGGAACCTAACGGGATATTGGATGAGGGATAGTATCCAGGATAGGCACTCGTGTGGAGAATCAACACCAGCCACACTTGATGGACCAAATGGCCCGTTTCTAAGATGTATCTTCTATAATTGCGACCACAACATAGAATGCTGTGCCACCCCTCGCTAGCCAGGCTGAGGGGGTAATGTTTAAAGGGATTAATACTTGAAGTGGTGGAACATTGTGAACAATGTCCAGAGTAACAACGGGAAAGGCCATAAGAGTAGAGAGAACTCCAGTGAGGGAGCGAGCACCAGGACAGACCCCGATGGGGAGGGAGCAGGGAATGGGGTTAGAGTAAAGAGCTCCAGTGGGGATCTCCCACTTCAGTCTGGAACCAGGTCATTCAAGGCACAACTAGAAGTTTAGTTGGGAATTATTCTATTGGGTTAAGAATTAACTTGTCAGAATGTAGCTGAAATCACGGAGAACAAGGATGGCAAGACAGCTAGACAGATTGTTAGATTATTTATTGCAACACGACCAATAATAATCGCAAAGCGCATCCCTGTGCTACGCAGTGCCATTCTAAGCCCCGGTTCACAGGCTGAAGACTTGGCTAAACCGCCAGTATCTCACAATGATCCACAGGCTGGTCAACCATCAACACTGTCTGCATTACAACACAGTGGGCTTTGCTTTACCAACAACCTCAAAAAGGGTGAATCATCCCTCACCCGTTTGATATTGATAAAATGGCACGAATCTGGCATTTAACCCAGAACCTTCTTGTCCCCAATCAAGAGTTGAATCACCTGAGGTCCACCAACTACCAGAGAGGTTCTAGCAATAATAATCCTTGTATTTGGATATAGCATCTTATCACGTCTTTGAGACGTCTCAAAGCGCTTCCCAGAATATGCTGTAAATTGAATTGACTGCATATTTGTGAGCAAAATGCGGCAGCCAATTGTGCCCAGCGGCGTCCCACAAACAGTCGTGGACTGAGTAACCACATTTTTTTTGGGGGGGGGGATTATTATCTCCAGAAAAGCACCAAGTGATTAACAACCGGGTTTCTATTTACTGCTTACTACAGAGGCGTGCGGAGTAAGGAAATCTGCCCAACATTTTGACCGGCCCGGTTATCGAAACCAGAGTCCTCTCGATTGCGAGGCGGGTGCTCTAACCACTGAGCTACAGGACTCCAGAAAGAAACACAAGAGCCGAGTGAGTATCTAACACGTTATCCCGTTGCAAATATCCAGCAATTAGACCTCAGCCGGACTCAGTGATAGCACTCGGGGGCTCAGTGGTAGCACTCGGGGGCTCAGTGGTAGCACTCGGGGGCTCAGTGGTAGCACTCGGGGGCTCAGTGGTAGCACTCGGGGACTCAGTGATAGCACTCGGGGGCTCAGTGGTAGCACTCGGGGACTCAGTGGTAGCACTCGGGGACTCAGTGGTAGCACTCGGGGGCTCAGTGGTAGCACTCGGGGGCTCAGTGGTAGCACTCGGGGGCTCAGTGGTAGCACTCGGGGGCTGTGGATTCAAAGGGACTCGAACTCACAACCTTCTGACTCAGAGGCTGATACAAGGCTGACATACAGAGAGAGTAACACACACAGTCACAGAGAGAGAGTAACACAACAGTCAAATAGAGAGACAAACACAGAGACAGTCAAACAAACACAGTGAGAGTAACACACAGAGACATGGAGTCAGACACAGACACAGAGAGAGTAACACAGAGCGAGATACAGACACAACAATAACAACAACTTGGTGTAGCGCAGAGTAACCCCCGACACACAGACACAGACACACAGACACAGACAGACACACAGACACAGACAGACAGACAGTGTCGGGGCTCAGGCCCTGTCCGTGACCGTCGCCTCTCTCTCTGCTGTATTTGCTGGTGTTTGGAGCCGGAGCCGCGGCCGCTGGGGTTTGGCGGCTATTGTGCCCCTCGGGCGGGAGGGCTGGTCCGGGCCTAGTGGCCGCTCACAGCCTGGGCCCACAGCCGGGCCTGCGCCCGCCTCCCGGCCCACTCATCCGGGTCCAGGCCCGCGGGCCGCCGCCGCCTCGCCCCCTCCCTCCCTCCCTCTCTCTCGCGGTGCTGAGGGTGCGCACAGCCCCGGGGATCGCGCCTCACTCACCGGCCCAGAGGCTCACAGCTCCGCCTCTCCTCCCGCTCCCGCTCCGGCCAAAGTTTACAAACAGCGACCGCAGGAAATGGCGCCGGCACGCCGGGAAATTCCGCACCCCGCCGCGCCGCCATGACAGGTGCTGGCACTGCCGCCATGACAGGTGCGGGCACTGCCGCCATGACAGTTACTGGTACCTCCGCCATGACAAGTACTGGCAACTCCACCATGACAGTTACTGGCAATCCCGCCGCCATGACAGCTGCTGGCACCTCCGCCATGACAGGCATTGGCGAGCACGTGGGAGATTACTTGAAGGAGTGAGGAGTTGCTGGATAATAATAATAATAATAACCTTTGCATTTGATATAGCGCTGTTCACGTCGGGAGGACGTCCCAAAGCGCTTCACAGAACACACTGTAAAGTCAATTGACTGTATATTTGTGGGCGAACGCGGCAGCCAATTGCGCACAGCAATGTCCCACAAACAGTCGGTGACTGAAAATGACCAATTTATTATTGTTTTGGGTTTTGGAGGATTATTATTAGGCTCTGTGTGGAGTAAGGAAACTTGCCCGAGGTTTCCCGCTGCCTGGAATTGAACTCAGGTCTCTCACTTGCAAAGCGAGTGCTCTAACACTGAATTACAGGACTGATTGCAATCCCACAAGTGACACCAATACAACATGGTATTACAGCTCAAATAGGTGGTTCCTATTTGTGACCGAGACTTCACGTAGAAACACGAGTATAAGATAGTGACTGGAGGATTGAAATGAGAATTTAGAAGAAACTTCTTCAGACAGAGGGCAGCACTGTGCGGAACTCACTCCCATAAGTGGCAATTGAAGCAGATAATAGATAGATTTACATAATAATAATCCTTGCATTTTGATATAGCGCTTTTCACATCAGGAGGACGTCCCAAAGCGCTTCACAGAACACACTATAAAGTGAATTGACTGCATATTTGTGGGCGAACGCGGCAGCCAATTGCGCACAGCAATGCCCCACAAACAGTCGGTGACTGAAAATGACCAAATTGTTATTGTTTTGGGTTTTGGAGGGATTATTATTAGGCTCTGTGTGGAGTAAGGAAACTTGCCCAAGGTTTCCCGCTGCCTGGAATTGAACTCAGGTCTCTCACTTGCAAAGCGAGTGCTCTAACACTGAATTACAGGACTGATTGCAATCCCACAAGTGACACCAATACAACATGGTATTACAGCTCAAATAGGTGGTTCCTATTTGTGACCGAGACTTCACGTAGAAACACGAGTATAAGATAGTGACTGGAGGATTGAAATGAGAATTTAGAAGAAACTTCTTCAGACAGAGGGCAGCACTGTGCAGAACTCACTCCCATAAGTGGCAATTGAAGCAGATAATACAGATAGATTTACATAATAATAATCCTTGCATTTTGATATAGCACTTTTCACATCAGGAGGACGTCCCAAAGCGCTTCACAGAACACACTGTAAAGTGAATTGACTGCATATTTGTGGGCGAACGCGGCAGCCAATTGCGCACAGCAATGTCCCACAAACAGTCGTGACTGAAAATGACCAATTTGTTATTGTTTTGGTTTTGGAGGGATTATTATTAGGCTCTGTGTGGAGTAAGGAAACTTGCCCAAGGTTTCCCGCTGCCTGGAATTGAACTCAGGTCTCTCACTTGCAAAGCGAGTGCTCTAACACTGAATTACAGGACTGATTGCAATCCCACAAGTGACACCAATACAACATGGTATTACAGCTCAAATAGGTGGTTCCTATTTGTGACCGAGACTTCACGTAGAAACACGAGTATAAGATAGTGACTGGAGGATTGAAATGAGAATTTAGAAGAAACTTCTTCAGACAGAGGGCAGCACTGTGCGGAACTCACTCCCATAGGTGGCAATTGAAGCAGATAATACAGATAGATTTACATAATAATAATCCTTGCATTTTGATATAGCACTTTTCACATCAGGAGGACGTCCCAAAGCGCTTCACAGAACACACTGTAAAGTGAATTGACTGCATATTTGTGGGCGAACGCGGCAGCCAATTGCGCACAGCAATGTCCCACAAACAGTCGGTGACTGAAAATGACCAATTTGTTATTGTTTTGGGTTTTGGAGGGATTATTATTAGGCTCTGTGTGGAGTAAGGAAACTTGCCCGAGGTTTCCCGCTGCCTGGAATTGAACTCAGGTCTCTCACTTGCAAAGCGAGTGCTCTAACACTGAATTACAGGACTGATTGCAATCCCACAAGTGACACCAATACAACATGGTATTACAGCTCAAATAGGTGGTTCCTATTTGTGACCGAGACTTCACGTAGAAACACGAGTATAAGATAGTGACTGGAGGATTGAAATGAGAATTTAGAAGAAACTTCTTCAGACAGAGGGCAGCACTGTGCGGAACTCACTCCCATAGGTGGCAATTGAAGCAGATAATACAGATATACATAATAATAATCCTTGCATTTTGATATAGCACTTTTCACATCAGGAGGACGTCCCAAAGCGCTTCACAGAACACGCTGTTAAGTGAATTGACTGCATATTTGTGGGCGAACGCGGCAGCCAATTGCGCACAGCAATGTCCCACAAACAGTCGTAGATTGAAAATGACCAATTTATTATTGTTTTTTGTTTTGGAGGATTATTATTAGGCTCTGTGTGAAGTAAGGAAACTTGCCCAAGGTTTCGCCCTGACCCCCCGGGGATTGAACTCAGGTCTCTCGCTTGCAAAGTGAGTGCTCTAACCACTGAGCTACAGGACTCCACAACAACAGCAACAACAGGATGTAGCAACAACAACAACAACTGCACAAAACTCTCTCACAACAAATCTTTTAATCAACAGCATTTTCTCTCTGTAACATCCAACTGTTGTCCAGCCCCGGCCTCAGAAACCTGGCGTCCTGTGATGGGGTCAGGACTTCATTCTCGTCTCCACGGTTACAGTGACCCCCACAGCTGAAATCAAGTAGGTTTCCCCCCACCCCACCCCACGTATACAGCCCTTCTCACCCCTTCGCCTCCGCACACAACTGTTGAGATGGCCAGTTCACCAAATGTTTAGTTCCCAGGTGAGCTGCTCCGCTCCGCAATGAACAAGTCAAGTCAATCGTGTCCAAACAGCTAACAAAGATAACACCTCCCAACGTGCATTCAACCCCCAGCGACACGCAGAGCCAGCGTGAGGAGCCGGGTCACATGGGCTGGAAGTCGCTCCCCAGACGCTCAATTTCATCCAAGAAGAAATCCAGGTCTTCCCGGGTAACCTGGGGGCTGATGAGGATTTGCCGAAAGAAATTGACATGTTTGCCGTGAGGCTGGTAGCCTACCATCATACTGCCCTTCACCACCATCCGCTGCTTCACCAGCGGGGCCACCTGTGGACAGACACACAGACAATAACAAAATTACATTTATAGAGAGCCTTTCACACATAGGTCAGTGACCAATTATATCTGGGGGATTGTCAGGAGCGAGAGAGAAACTCCCTTCTCTTTTTGAATAGTGTTGCAGGATCTTCAATGTCCACCTGAACAGGGCACAGACTGGACCTCGATTTAACAGGTCCTCCAAAATGGGTAAACTCTGACACTGCAGCTCTCTCTCTCTCTCTCCCCCCAGCGCTGCACTGGAGCGAGAGCCTGGAGTGCGAGCTTAAAGTCCCCGATGTGGGGGGGGAACTTCAACCCACAGGCTTCCAACTCAAGAGGTGAGAGCGTGCGAGAGCCTTGGTTGTTTGAGCACCGAGCCCCCCTTCCCCCAGCTCCGCAGTATCCCCCCCACCCAGTGTGTGTCCGCCCCCTCTCTCCTGCCCCCCCCCACCCTCCCATCCGCCCCTCACTGTGAAGCTCCTCACCCGGCCCAGCTGTTGCCAGAAGTCCGGCGTCTCCTCTCCTCCTCGCAGACACGGCGGAATATACCAGAAGCAAACATTGACAAATTGGGGCTATGACGAGAGAGAAAGTGGGGAACATTAGCTTCAACTCCGGGAACCCCCCACTCCCCCCCCCGGGACAGATTCTAGACTCCAGGTCTGGCTAATCCGGGTGCCGGGATTTGCAGGCACGGGGAGTGGGGTAGGGAATGTGAGTGGGGGGGACGCAGGAATGGGGGTGGTGGGTGGTGGTGGAGCGGGGAGATACCCCTGGAACAGACATACCTCCATCAGCAGACGGAATCCGTCCCGTTTGTGCATCTCAGCAACCAAGTACCTGCAGTGACAGAGACGCTGTTATTAATAATTATGTCTGTATGTCTGTGGTGGTGGGGGTGGGGGGGGGGGAGTTGGCTGTATGTGTGCGTGTGTCTGGGGGGAGGTGGGGGAGTCACTGACCTGGTGCAGGCAAATGCGCGGTTGACCCTGTCTCTCAGGCCACGGGTGCCGATGGCTTTCCACATCAGCCAGAGCTTCAGACAGTCCACCCGGCGGCCACACTGCACTGACCTGTCCCCGGTGTCATAGCGCGGCTGGTAACAGCGGTCAGTCTGGAACAGGTAGCGGGCACCAGCGGCGTGGGCACTGCCCAGCAAGTCCTGTAACATAGGGAGGGGAAGGGGTCGGTTAGCGGGGGGGAGGGATCAGTCACTGGGGTGGGGGGGGGGGGGTAAGTGTGGCTCAAGGGAGGGTAGTAGTTACTCACGGTTTGGTCCTTCAGGAGGAAAGCTGAGCACTGGAGCCCGGCCATTAACATCTTGTGAGGGTTCCAGGTCACAGAGTCGGCCCTGATACAACGACGACAACTTGCATTTATTTACACAGCGTCTCTTACGCGGGGAGAGGGTCCCGGAGAACTAGACACTGGGGAGCATGACTCCGAGCCAGGAGAGAGGGATGGGAGGGGAGGTGACCGGGGGAAGGAGCACAATCACAAGGGAAGGTCGGGATAAGCGGGATATGAAGGTGGGGAGGGAGGGGGCACAGCGGAGAGATTGGGGGAGAGAGAAAGAGACAGTGTGACAGGAACACGAGGGGCGAAGGGGTAACGGCCACAGACTCACCTCTCAATACCAGCCAGAAGGTGACGGTGTCTTTTTGACAAGAGAGCTCCTCCCCCCCACGCTGCCTGCAACACACGTCGGTGGTCAGAGAGAGATACACACACGCACCCCCTCACACACAACACACACCAAACACACACTCAGTGAGAGACACACATGCACACACACAGGCGGTAAGAAAGTATCCCAAATGGGGGTTTACGTCCACATGGAGCCAGACCCCATGTTGTTGGCAAACGTCCGCGATCTCAGCCAGAGGGTCGAAGGCTCCCAGGATGGTGGTTCCCGCCGTGGCGCTGACCATCAGGGGGACTGCGCCCTGTGGGTGGGGGGGGGGTCACATGAGCGTCATTGTTTCAAATATTATTTTATTTTCAGCCAGAAATGCTTTTTGCGACCGTCGGCCAGAATTGGAACGATTTGTAGATGCCATCAGCCTAATCAGAGTCAGCTCCGTGGTTTTAGCCACTACATCCCCAAACTCCGTCACTCACTCCCTCAATCCCTCCGCCTTGCCCCCTTCCTTCCCCATCTTCAGGTCACCCTCCTCTTCGTCCGGGCTTACAGTCACCGCCCCCACCCCCCCCAGCCCAGCGTGAGTGACGCCTGTGTAAATGCAAGTTGTTGTTGCTGTTGCTAAACGTGAGCGTAACAGCCATTATTGTTTGCCGTGCGGTTACCGTGCGATTAACTCCCTCCCAACCCAGCGTTTGGGAACGAGAGCGCAACAGATAAAGATAAACACGCGTGAAGCACTTCACGGACGAGAACTGATCCCGAATCACTCTGTGTGTGTGTTGTGTCCCCGGGAGGAACGTTCCTCACCTCAGACTTTGCCGCTTGTATCTGCTCGTCCAGCTCCGCAGCCAGCATCCTCCCCCTGAGAGGCCGAGAACACGTTACCCACACGCTATGCACACGCTACACACACGCGCGCCCCGCACACACCACTCCCCACCCCCACACACGTACGACACACAGACACACACACACAGTGAGACAGACAGACAGTGTGAGACACACAGAGAGACAGACAGGGCGACCCGTGTGGCGATTGGTTTCTGTGTCAGACACATCGACTGGGACGAACCTGCCATCGGTTTTCACTGTCCAGACATTGTCAGTGCCCAGGCCAAGGAAGGCAGCTCCTTTGGTCAGTGAGTAATGACCCTGCGAGGGCAATGGCAGAGAGTCAGTGTCCCCCCCAACACCCCCACTCCCAATATCAGCCCCCCCCACCCACACACACTGACAAGCCCCCCCAACCCCACCGTGTCTCCACTCTCCACATCACAGTTTACACACATTACAATCCACCTGCCCCAAGACCAGTCCCCACCCCTTCCCAAGACCAGCCTCTGCCCCTCCTCAAGACCAGGCACTGTCCCACTACCTTGTCGTCCCTCTCACCCCCCGTGCCCCCCTCCCCCCCACCTCGCAGGGCCTCACCTCCTCTGACGTGAAGATGACGAGCCTGGGCACCACCCACAGACCTCGCTGCTTGACGTGAGGGTAGAGGCGGTGCCTAGCCAGGTTAATGGCGAACATGTTGGACATGGAGCCACCTGTAAAGTGAGAGAGATAGCAACACGAGGTGGGTTTGTGCCGAGGGGCTGCCCAGCTCCACGCCCCCCCTCCCCAGCTTATCATCCAGGGGCAGGACTTACCTGGACAGAATATCCCATCACCTGTCATCCATCCAATCAGCTCGCGAAGCTTCTTCAACACAACATCTTCCATCAACACGAAAACAGGTGAAATCTCATAGGTATACCTGAGCCAGAGAGAGTGTGGGAGAGAGCGGGGAGTTCCTGGTACCTACCTCGCAGAACTGGCTCCAAGGTGACATGTTTGGCAACAGAATCTCGGAATCTATCCTCAGCAGATGGATGGCAGGTACCAGGAACTCACACACACACACCCACACACACAGGGACACACACACACAGGGACACACACAAAGAGGTGTGATTGGAGGAATGGCCTGTGGTGGGGGTTGGTGGGGGTTACTTACTGGCTGGTGTTCAGCGTTTCTGTGATGAAACGTCCGACCAACGCGTGATAATCAAGACCCGCAAAAAGCTGGTTGAAGAAGCGAGGATGAGCTGTGGGGAGAGGTCACAGGTCATGGAGAGAGGTCCGAGAGAGAGAGAGGTCAGAGGGTGAGAGTAAGTTCCCATCAAACACACCGCCAAAACCCAGCCCTCATACCGGGGGGGGGGGGGGGGAGGGATCAAGCATGCAGGGGCGGCATTACGCGGGTTCAGTACCTGTGTTGACGCTGTACCTGATGACCTGGCGACAATGCTGGAGGAGACGGACCTCAGATTCCCCCGTGTCCGGCAGCTCCAACTCCAGCAGCGACTCGAGCTCCTCGGGGGCCACCCACTGACATACCTGCTCACACACAGGAGTGTCACCCAGTCTCACACTCACAGCATCAACCAAACTCCACCCCCTCACAGCCCCGCCTATCTCTCCCCCTCCCACAGAGCCCCTCCCACAGAGCCCCTCCCACAGAGCCCCTCCCACAGAGCCCCTCCCACAGAGCCCCTCCCCCGTACCTTCTCGTTGACGTCAGTGCCCCTGCGGACTGCCTCCTTCATGATGATGTGAAAAGCCGCCTCCACAAAGTGCTCACCCTCAGCCGCGTCCTGGAGCCTCGCCATCAGCAACCCCTCCTCCTCGTCTACAGGCTCCTCCCCTGCCCGGCCAGGCTCCTCCCCCGCCCCGTCCGGCTCCTCCCCCACCCCGCCCGGCTCCTCCCCCGCCCCGCCCGGCTCCTCTCCTGCCCGGCCCGGCTCCTCCCCCGCCGGAGCTTCCATCCTCACCGTGCCAACCGGCTCTTCGAAACAAAACAAGATTCGGGTGTTAACCCCACACTGCCACCTTCCCCCCCACCCACACCCACCCACCAGTCACGTTTAACCCCAGCTGTCCTTCCTCCACCTCCATCACATTGCCCACCTCTGACCGTGCCTCACACCCAACAGCCAAAACCTTCGTCCACACCTTTGTCACCTCCCACTTTGACTCAAGCCCTCCTTGACGGTCTCCCCACTTACGGGGAGTGGGGGCGGGGGGGACTGTAAGAGATAGTTCCAGAGCGGTCCAACCCTTTTGGCTGCCGAGGGCCAGTTGCCCTGTTTGAGAAAAGTCCCCTCCAGGAACACAACATTTACACAGCAGCTTTTTCACGGTCGAAGGATGTCTCAAAGCATTCAACACAGTCGGTTGGACACCCGAACTGAGAAAACCCAGGAGAGAAATCCCAGGGAAAAGCTGGGGCTTATCCCCGGGACAGCCCTGCGGATATGCTCTCAGCTACGTTTGTCACTCTCTCTCTCTCCCTCCTTCACTCATTCACTCTCTCTCATTCACTCAGTCTTTCACACTCACTTATTCACTTTCACTTACTCTCTTTCACATTCACTCACTCTTTCACACTCACATTGTCTCACACACTCATCTCACACTCACGCAGTGAAATAGAAGATAATAAAAGACACTAGTGACAGTGAGGAGCTACTCACGGCTGTTGCTGTGCGGCTCTGGCTGCTCAGTGTTGGTGTCACAGCCCCCACTCTCCCAACCTCAACTCAACACTTCACCTGCACTTAATCTGCACTGATTGCCTCCCCCTCCCCCTGCCTGTCCCTGCCCACAGTGTGTGGGTGTGGGTGGGTGAGCTTCAGGATGTGAGTTCATACTGACCAAACGTATCGTGTGGGTTTGAGGAACAGATAAATAAATAGAATAAAAATCCTTACATTTGATCTAGAAAATTCCATCGCCCTGTCGCACAGTGGTTAGAGTACTTGCCTCGCAAGCAAGAGGACCTGGGTTCTATTCCTGACCCTGACATCAATACCGTTGTCTTATTTTCCTTCTCACAACACTAAGATCATCTATTTGCACATTCCTTTCCCACATGACTGCACCAGCCTCAGCAAGGCTGTGAGATAAGGGAAAGATAGGAGACAACATGCATTAATCAGGTAAACCGGCAACAGTAAAGGTTAACAGTGGTTTTTGCAGGAGTAACGCAGCATAATGGGAGAAGTTCCACCCATCAACAGAACTCAGAAAGCTCACCCACGCAATCCTTGTCCATGGAGCCATGTGGCGCAGTGGTTAGAGCACTTGCCTCGCAAGCGAGAGGACGTGGGTTTGATTCCCTGGCAGGGGGAACCCCAGGCAAGTTTCCTTACTCCACACACCTCTGTTTACCCAGCAGGAAAGTAGAAACCCGATTGTTAGTTGATTGGCGGATCGCTTTCCAGGGGTTAATAATTCCTCCCCTCCAGAAATAATAATTATAATAATTGTGGTCACTTAATCCACGACTCTGTGGGGACGCTGCTGTGCGCAATTGGCTGCCACGCTTCGCCCACAAAATATACTGTCAATTCACTCTCCAGTACATCCTGCGAAGCTCTTTGAGACGTTTCAACGACGTGATAAGGCGTTGTATTTGAGACCTCTCAAAGCGCTTCATAGGGATAGACTAATGTTTAGTGACTATATTTTGTGGGCGAAACGTGGCCGCCAGTTATGTGTATTGGAAAGAATGTTTACGGGATAATAATATCAGTCACTTCGCTTGACAGCAAATCGCGTGAAGCGCTTTGTGACGCCCTCCCCACGTGGAGAGGCGTCAGTTCGTGTGTTGAATTAATATGATTTGAAAAGCGCAAACGCGGCGGGCGGCGGGACCCCGCGGACACCGGCTGGAGCACGGCCGCAGCTGATTGGGTACTGCGGTTGTCAATCGGACCGCCGATCCAATAGGAGAGGAGCTGGGCGTGAGCCCGCCCCGGGTATTAAAGGGACATCGCATGGCCAGCGGCCACTTCGAGCGGAGCAGAAGATCGACTGGTGGGAGTGAGTTTAGTGTCTCTCTCTCTCTCTCTTCCTCCCTCGTTCTTCATTCTTCTCTTCCCCCCCCCTCTCTCTCTCTCTTCCTTTCTCTCTCTTTCACTCTCCCTCTCGTCCCTCTCTCTGTTCTGTGTGTGTTACAGGATACAATAACAACAACAACAACACATGTGGGGAGGGGGACATTTCTGGTTAATTTCAGCCTCAAACAGTGGGGATGGAGCGCAGGACATCCTCTCCCCTCTCCCCCCTCCCCCTCAGTTGTCAGGGATGCATGGAATCTTCGGTTTGGTTTGGATTGGGTTTCCACACGTGTCAGACACCCGACTGACCCCCAAAAATTGCTCTTCAAAGAATCGACACTGTCTGTCTGTCTGTCTCCCCAGGAAGCGGGGTCCCCCCCCAGAGAGCCATGACGTCCTGCCCACTGGTGCTTTGCCCCTATGACCCGAGTCACAAGATCAGAAGCAGCCGCCTCCCCTACCACCTGGTGAAGTGCCGCAAAGTAAGTGTCACTCGCACCCAGTGCCCCCCACTCCCCAGCCCACTCTCTGCTGTGCAGCCTCACTGGGGGTCCGGGGGATGGTGAGCGGTGCTTCGCTGGAACTGAACTGACTCCCACGGTGACGTGTTTGTCAATGTTGGAATTCAGACAGCTCTCTGTGACCGTCTCCAGTCCAGTTCCTGAGCCGGGAGGGTCCGCAGTATTCCAGGGCACTCGCTGCTGATGACAGCACAGCCCGGCCTGGCTCATCGGAGGCCCTGGAAGGGCTGACCAATCACTGGGGAAAGGGAATCCGCCCCCTCAGCTCCTGTTCGCTCTGCAGCCAAAGTCCTAATGGGGAGAGTGGTCCTAGCTGGACAAGCAGCGGGAAACCTTTCTCTCAATGGCAAGGTGTGTGGGTTTAGCTGGTTAGACTCCGGCAGTTATCCCAACGCACACTTTGGGGATCCCCCCAAGCCTTGGTTCTTGATTTCCGGAATTGGAGTGCGTACCGGGGGAGAGAGAGCGCAATCCATTACAACAATCGTGATGGGGGAGGAGGGTATTTTTGGGCTAAAAAATACACAGTCAATATATCCGTGACGCGCTTGAAGACGTCTCAATGATTGGCTAAAGTGCTGGACAAAATGCAACTGATATTCTGGGGTCTCCAGTCTGTGATGTGGTGCAAGGTGTGTGCACTGGGGGGAGAGAGAAATTCTCTTTTCTAATAGTGCTATGGCATCTTTAACGTCCACCTGAACAGGCGGACGGGACCTCGGATTAATGTCTCATCTGAAGGAACGGCATCTCCGACAATCAACACACCCCTAAACCTGCACTGGAGCGTCAGCTTAGACTGTGCTTCCAGATCCCAACGTGTGGTGCTTGAAGCCACAGCCTACAGATCAGCCATGATCTTATAGAATGGTGAAACTGGCTTGAGGGGCTGAATGGCCTCCTCCTGTGTCTGTGATTCAGAGGCAAAGGCGCTACCACTGAGCCAGTGACAGAGAGTAGATGAAGTAACAATAATAATAATGCTTGCATTTGATATAGTACCTTATCAAAGCTTTAGCGGATACAGCGTAAAGGGTATTGGGATAATGAGCTTCTCTTTCCTGTTTAACAGAATCACCCGGAAATGGCAAAGATCCTGAGGGTTTGTCCCTACAACGCCCGACACCAGATCCCTCACACAGAGTTCCAGCAGCATGTGGCTCACTGTGCGGATGGCAAAAATCCTGGCAACGGAGAGAGTGCTGGTCAGTGTAACCGTGACCCCATCATTGCTGCCCTCGGAGAGAAAAAGGGGCGAGAGGACAGTTGGCGGAGTGAGAAGGGAGGGCAGAGCACGGGCGGATAATGAGTGGAGAGAGAGCGCGGGTGGGGGGGGGGGGAAACGCGAGAGAGAAAAAGAGTGAATGTTCTACACCCCCACCCCTCTCTTCTGGAGCAAAAAAGACAATTGTGTTTAATCTGCTGGGGGGAAAATCCCCTCTCCCCCCTCACTCAGAATGTTTCTCTTGTAGAATGGAAGGTGAACCGCTGTCCAGTGGCCCCGGACATCGGGAAGGCTGAGGAGAGGCCACCGTGTGCTGAGGACTGGGACCTGGGTAGGCCCTCTCTCCCCTACACCCGACTTCACTTGCCCTGTCTCCCCCACCCGCACCCCGACTCTCTCTCCTGTCCTGTCCAGACTCTCGTCTCTCGCTTTTGACCCTGGCCTTGACCATCAATGTCTGGCTCCCCTGCCTTCTACGGTCTCCTGCCCACTACACCTGAGCCCGGTGAATAATAACCACCGCTCCTCTGTCCCACCGTCGGTGGCCGAGCCCCCGGCCCCTGAAATGTTTCTCTTCGTTAACAGATGAGGAAGAGTCTACGCCTCCTTTCATCTTTGGAGACGGCAAGTCTAGTGCCGGGAAAATGTAGCGCAAGACCGGTGAGTCTGGTGTGAAGCTGCAAACAACAGGAATCCTTCCCAGAGGGGTTTTTTTTTTAGTCGGCCCGGTGGCGTCTGTCAGGCGCGGATACCGTTGCTTACGAGTCTCCAAACCCAACTGAGTGTGCGTTGGGGTAACTGCTGGAGTCTCACCAGCTTAAATGCCATTGATATCGCTGTCTGGCAAGACTGTCCCAGGGAGAGAAGAACAACAAAGAATGTCTTTTGACGCACAGTTGGGATATTTAATGGGAAGAATTACAGAGATCCTCGGTGAATGAGGGGTGTGGGGAGAAGGTGGTGGGTGGGGGGGGTGTGGGTGGCAAATTTGGAGCTGATAATTAGTGGATAACTACTGCCCAGAGCTGACTTGAACCAACTCTTTTCTGCCTTTCAGATCGCAGCCAGGACATTGATGCAGGATTTATTTTACCAACAAACCAGGGATTTGGGATTTTAATCACGAACCAGGATTTTAACTTTTGCTCTGTATTCTTTAAATTTTTAAGCCTATCTCCCGTAGCTTCCCCCCACCCTCCTTACCCTCCTCACAGCCTCAGCCCGTGTGGGGCCAGACATAAAGTTCATACAGGATTCCCAGCCCTTCCTCCAGGTTGCCAACCTTACCTTTTCCCCTGATGTTACCAAGTAATAATAATAATAATAATAATAAGTCCTTGCATTTGATTCAGCCCCTTGTCGCGTCGCTGAGACACATCTTAAAGCGCTTCACAGGACCCATTGCAAAATACATTGACGCTGTACTTTGTGGGCGAGAAACTTAGTCGCCCGATTGTCACCGTTTCTGTGGTACCATCACTTCTTTTTTAATCTGCGTTCCAAATTTGGGGAATAAACTTTTATTCTGCTTTCGTCACTCGGAGGATTTCATTGTGGGGGGTGGGGGGGGGGGGAGGGGGGTAAAGCGACACGTACCTTTCACGTCGGGAGGACGTCCCGAGGCGCTGGGGGTCGGATTTCAGAGGAGTGGACGATGGCTGTAGGGGCAGAGGAGCTGAAGACCCGACCTCTGACGGTGAGGGGCAGTGCCCACTGAGTGTGTGTGTGTGTGTTGGGGAGTGGGGGGGTCACAGAGAAGGAGGAGTGGGGGTGGGGGAGTGTGTGTGGGGGGAGTGGGGGGAGTGTGTGGGGGTGTGGGGTGGGGGGGAGTGGGGGGGGAGTGTGTGTGTGGGGGGGAGTGGGGGAGTGTGTGTGTTGGGGGGAGTGGAGGGGGGAGTGTGTGGGGGAGTGGAGGGGGGAGTGTGTGGGGTGGAGGGGGGAGTGTGTGGGGGGGAGTGTGTGGGGGAGTGGAGGGGGGAGTGTGTGTGGGGGGAGGGGGTGGAGGGGGGAGTGTGTGTGGGGGGGGAGAGTGGAGGGGGGGGTGTGGGGTGGAGGGGCTTTGAGGGCGAGGACTATCCACGTGTCGGGGGAGGGTGGGGCACATCACCCACGTGGTGTGGGGGGGCGGAGCCGGAAGAAGTCACGTGTTGGGGGCGGGTGGAGGTGTCACGTCACGTGGGGAGGGGTCACGTGTCGGGGGCGGTGCCTACGAGGGGCTGAGGATGAGTCGCGCGGACCCCGAGGAGCTGCTGCGCTGCCCATACGATGGGAGTCACCGCGTCCGCGCCGCGCGCTTCCCCTACCATCTGGTCAAGTGCCGTAAGGTGGGCCCCATAGCCCCCCAACAGCCCCCCCATAGCCCCCCAACAGCCCCCCATAGTCCCCTCCAACAGCCCCCCCATAGCCCTCCAACAGCCCCCCATAGCCCTCCAACAGCCCCCCCCAACAGCCCCCCCATAGACCCCAACAGCCCCCCATAGCCCCCCAACAGCCCCCCCATAGACCCCAACAGCCCCCCCATAGCCCCCAACAGCCCTCCAACAGCCCCCCCCAACAGCCCCCATAGCTCCCCAACAGCCCCCCCCCCATAGCCCCCCCCCATAGCCCCCAACAGCCCCCAACAGCCCCCCCCAACAGCCCCCCATAGCTCCCCAACAGCCCCCCCCCATAGCCCCCCAACAGCCCCCCATAGCCCCCCAACAGCCCTCCAACAGCCCCCCCAACAGCCCCCCATAGCTCCCCAACAGCCCCCCCATAGCCCCCAACAGCCCCCCATAGCTCCCCAACAGCCCCCCCATAGCCCCCCAACAGCCCCCCATATCCCCCTCCAACAGCCCCCCCCATAGCCCCCCAACAGCCCTCCAACAGCCCCCCCAACAGCCCCCCATAGCTCCCCAACAGCCCCCCCATAGCCCCCAACAGCCCCCCCATAGCCCCCCAACACCCCCCCATAGCCCTCCAACAGCCCCCCCATAGCCCCCTCCAGCAGCCCCCCCATAGCCCCCAACAGCCCCCCCATAGCTCCCCAACAGCCCCCCATAGCCCCCCAACAGGCCCCCCCATAGCTCCCCAACAGCCCCCAACAGCGCCCCCCAATAGCCCCCCAATAGCCCCCAACAGCCCCCCCCATAGCCCTCCAACAGCCCCCCATAGCCCCCCAACAGCCCCCCCATAAACACAGCCCTCCCAACACCCTCCACCCACCAATAGAGGCAGTGAGACCCCCCCCCCCCCAGTGCAGTCTCTCTGCCCTCTGGTAGGGTATTAATTCCCTGTGGGGTTCACTATCCCCCGATTCACTGCTGTAAAGTTTTATACTGAGGCCACGTGTTGGTTGGTGTTGGACAATCCCTGAACGTTGTGTATGAACTGCGGGCGTTCCCTGTGACCCCGTTTTGGCTTTTCTTCCCCCAGAATAACCCGGACAAGGCTCGCACCCTGGAGTCCTGCCCCTTCAACGCCAGGCACTGCATCCCCAAGGCCGACATGAAGCACCACATCACTAACTGCTCCGACAAGAAGGCCATCGAGGACGATTTTGGTAAGGAATCGGTGTGGGAACCGGGCGGAAAAAAGACCCGAGGTTCGGCTCCCACCGACCTGGCAGTGGCTCTTGACGCATCGCGCCCCAAACTCTACACTGACTCCCCCAGATATTATCTTCGAGCTGAAATCAATCCCGTTTTGGTCTTGAAACAAACAACACTTTCCGTCTGTCTGTCCGTCTGTCGTCCTGTTGGAGCCTGTTCCATAAAATATTTTATATAAAATAGTGGGGACGCTGCTGTGCGCAATTGGCTGCCGCGTTTCGCCCACAAAATACGCAATCAATTTACAGTATATTCTGTGAAGGGCTTTGAGACGCCTTGAAGACTCGATCGGGCATTATATCAAACGCAAGGCTTATTATTGTTGTTATTTCCTAGTCAGCGTTGGGCAGAGAAAACATTGTGAAATACCTCAAAGTACCTGGCAATGCCCACCCCCAGAGGAGGACTGGGAGAGAGGTTAGTTTTTCCTTCATTGTAACTTCCCCCCCCCTCCCCTCGAGCGTCTGTGAATTCTGCGCAGTAATTAGCGATGTCTAGTGTCGTAAGAAATTCTAATGCCAACGTTCACCCAGTCTCAGCCCCGGAGACCCATTTGATCTCAAGAGTCTAAGATCGCACATAATTTTTAAAGAAAATCTTTAAATTCTGCCTTACGTTTTCTTCAAAAAATAAAACCCTTCCAAATTTAGGGTGAACTGAACGACAGTATTGGGGATGGTAGTGCGGAGGTAATGTCACTGGAAACAGCAACACCAAACAGTCGTGGGTTCGAATACCGCTGCAGTCATTGTGTACGAATTAAAAAAAAAAGTCCACTTTACAGTGTATTTGGTGAAGCGCATTGAGACGTCTGTAAGATGTGATCAGGCGCTATATAAATTCAAGGATTACTATTATCGCTGGTCAGGGTTTAAATCCCACGCTTGTGGTTTGTCTGGGGTCAGTACTTGACTCTCATTGATTACATTCTCCAGATAATGGCGATGACACCTCTGCTACTTTTGTCTACGGCTACAGCAATGTGAACCAGAGCTGTGTGAAAGGCAGGTGGGTGCTGTTTCTGTGACTCCCCCCTGTTTAACTCCTTCCTACACTGCTACCTGTTAAAGGAGCGTTTGTTTGATCAGCGCTACTTTCAGCTAAATTGTTTAAAAATAATTTTCTTGCAACTGCTTAGTTTCAATGATGAGTGAGTTTAATATCAGTTTAGTGGGTAATGTTGAATAAACATATTATGTGTGTGTCTGTGTGCGCATCTCTGACAGGGCAGCAATCAGCGTTTTAATTGATTCTCCATCTCTAGTTCTATTTCAGTTTATGAGAGCAACAATAATTTAGCAGTTGGTATAAGAGCTCCAAAGACTTTGCCTGAGCAGCCGTTGTCCTCAGCGGATTGTCTGGGATCCGTGCCGTTTGTGTTGCCCTGGAGAGTGGGTAAGTGAGACTTGTACCTTCCGAGTGGGAGTGAGTTCATATACTTTAATCATGTTTGTGGGACGCTGCTGTGCACAATTGGCTGTCGCATTTAGCCCACAAAATATACAGTCGATTCATAAGAAATGCTAGACGAAGAAAGACCAAGGTCCATCTAGTTTGCCTTTCATCTTCCTGGACATATGTCCCAAACTCCCTATGTACAATATCCCATGATGTTATTTCTTAAAAGAAAACTAATCTGTGTTTGAAGGAATCAACATTTCCCTCTTCAACCCAGGGAGCCTGTTCCACAGAGCCTGATTCACTTTACAGTATATTCTGTCAAGCGGTTTGAGACGTCTCAAAGACGTGATAAGGCGCTATATCAAATGCAAGGATTATTATTATTATGTTAGACAGTAGAATACAGGGGAGCAACTGTGGAGTTCCTTTTCTGATTTCCTCTCTTTTAATTGCTCATTCCTCACTGGTTCTATTCTTACGTTGGTGTCCAAGCCTTTAGCCACCATGTCATAACCCTGTCAACAACATTCGCCTACAAAATATACAATCAGTTCACATTAAAGTATATTCTGTAAAGGGCTTTGAGACACCTCGAAGACGTGCTTATTCGCTATATCCAATATCAAATACAAGGATTATTATCATTAGCAAATCGGCCATGTTTCCATGCCTTGTTTGTAACGAGATATTAATGCTGACCTGAGCCGACCTATAACAAGATTTCCCTGTAATGCAAACCAGCCACTGGATTGTAAAGAGCTGCCCACTGATTGACGGACTTGCTTGGTTCTATTTTAGGTTCATCGTCCCGAGTGTGAGAGGTGTCTACTCTCCAACCGTAGCCAGTGAGTATTGGAATGTGGCACATTAGACATCAGCAGTTAGTAAATAAATCAAACTTGCTCACAGTGATAAGGCCACACACTCCAATGGCCTCAGTGTCAAAGAGAGAGAGTGTGTGTGAGGTTCCATCCAGCCTCAATCATGTAGCTTAATGGCTGTGTCCCTCCAGTGTGATCACACTGCCTCTCCTAAGCTCCATCTCCGCAGCTCTGTCCTCTCCTGGTTTCATTCTTACCTTGTCCCAAAGTCTCCACTTTGTCTCTTTCAATGGCTTCTCCTCTTCCCCCCCCACATCTCTCATTCCGTGTGTCTGTCTGTCTCTCAAGTTGGCGAGAGCCAAGGCTTGGGGACCCAGAGTGTACAGCAACTCTTAGTAGCTTTGACTCCTAATCAGACATTATAAGCCAGAACATTAAACTGCAGCAAACCACACCACCCATCACTTGAGGATGATCATATGTTGATGGATTCTTTTCTTGTGCATTTTCAGCCTGTTCCTCGCCACGTGGAGGAGGTAGAGAAGAGGAATTGGACCAGACCTTGTTTTTAAAGGTGGCCAATGTCACACTGGGAATCCTGTTGTCCCTGTGGTTTATAAGATGTTAAGAGGACTTCTGCACGACATTAAGTGCGGTAACTTTTAACCCACCCCCTCAGAGAGGGACACACCTGATGGCTGTTCCTCAGAACCTGTAGCCACAGACACGATCCCTGTTCCAATAGTTTTGTTTGGGCTCAGACTTTGTTCCCTGTTAGTTTACCATTTAATAAAAAAAATTGTTCTGAAAAATTCTCAGTTGTGATGTTTGTTTCTCTTCTGCTTAACATATTGTGGCTTTGGGCAAAGAATGGTAATAATTAAAAGAATAACAATTCATCCTTGCTTTTGATGTAGCGCTCCAAATGAGTCGTCTCAAAGCGCTTCGCAGGATACACTGTCGAGTGGATTGACTGTGCATTTTGTAGGTGAAGCGGGTCCCCGGTATTCCAGGTCACAGCACAGCCTGGCTCATCGACAGGCTGCGAACACCCAGCAGGTCAGGCAGCGTCTATGGCGAGGAAAGTGAGTTAACATTTCGGGTCTTCATCGGAACCCAACAGCAGCTCAATGTGGGGATGGAGCTGGTGACGGCGCTTCGTCACCAGGAGGTGGCGCTCCCGTATCAGCTCCGACGTGGTGAGCCCCGGGGGCTGCGTCGGGCACTGTGAGATAGGCTGACCCTCCAGCGCAGAGCTGGGAGGGGGGAGAGAGCACCGCATTGTCATATGAGATTTTAGACCGAGCTTCTTTGCCTCGTTTGAAGGACCCAATTGGAGTTTCTCCCCAGTGATTAATCCTGCCTTCTGCAGTAAACAGTCACTACACCGGACAGCAATCGTGAACACTGAGTGGGTTGGGTGTATGAACAGCTCCTGCTTGCCCCTCTCTCATCACCTCGCTCTCCTGACAGTGTGAGAAACGTCTTTTGTCAGCCTCGTAAATCAAAGGCAGTTATAAAGCCATCGCTTCCCAGGGAAAGGTAAACACCCACGGTGTCTACTGGAGGCCGGTCAGCCGGCTCCTCACATTAGCTACGGACTGTGATACGAGCTGTCCTGAGCAGCGTACTCAGGCTGGAGCACACAGGCTAACATACACAAGAGCACGGATACACACAAAGACACCAAGTCTCGCTCAAATCCGTCCCTACATGTTTATCCTTGGAACCGTAACAATATTTATTTTCCATTTGATACGGTGCCTTTCCTGTCAGGAGCTCGTCTCAATGCATGTCGCAGAATTTACTGTGAAAAGTAGTGACTGTGTATTTTGTGGGCAGCCCCAATTGCGCGAAGCGACATCCCCACAAACAGCCATGGAGCGAATGAACGATTTGAATGACCACAGGAATGGGTAACACACGGGTGGCCGTTCAGCCCATTATTGTTGGTTGCTATTTGTTCCTTCAAGACGTCATCATCCAACCTCAACCCAGTTCCATCTCCTCCAACCTTCTTCCTGCAGACTTGCCCGGCTCAGAATCTATCCAGTCCCTGAGCCAGGCAGGTCTGTAGTCCTCCAGGTGACAGCCCAGTCACTATGGCAGGGACATGCACACACAGGGCCTCAGTCTTATACCATCTATAGAACCAACGCCCCCAAATAACTTTTATATTCTAATTGCCGTTGAGATGTTGATTTGGTCTCAGCCTCGAGAATCGCTCCTCAGAACGCATTCTCGCCTCGACCTCCCTCTGTGTGGGACGTGTCTCTCCTCCCTCCCCCCACCTGAACAAGCTTGACTTTGCTTCTTGTCACGGATTCTCAACAAACGGAGAAACTCTCTTGAGTGTGGGAGCCGGAGCCAGAGACTGTAAGCCAAGTGTCCATGGGGACCTTCCCAGGTTTCTCAGTTACTGACCGGGATCGAGTGCGTAAACTCAGACCCATGTGTCAGTCCTGGCCGAGGGCTTCTCCTGCGATACCACAAGTCTAAACACCGACACTCACTGACTTTTGATCAATCATTCACTCAGCAAATCCCCGTGTCTGCGCTGTGCGCTGTGCCGTGTGGCAATGAATTGCTGAGTGAATGATTGATCAAAGGTCAGTGAGTGTCGGCGGTTTCTAGAATGTTCTCTGGGGTTATCTGCTGCCGGTTATTCACATTTACTCAGTGAAAATCGAAAAAGCGATAGAATCAGAGATTCTACACGATAATTGATTGAAAGAGGGATTTGCTCGATTGGGATTTGGCTTCAAAACCCCCCACGGCCTTGCTCCTCCCTACCTCGGTGACCTGCTAACTCCATATAGTTTTCCCAACATACACTCTGGGCTCCCCCAAGCCTTGGCTCTTGCCAACCTGCTCCTAATACTATCTGGAATTAGGTAAGTAGGGTCCGTCCCTCCAGAGAGAGCGCGCGTATTCCAATCCAACACGTGGGAATTTCCACGTGTGGATGACAGACATGGAATTCTCAGTCTGGCTGAGACTGTTAAGCACCTGTCTGACCGACACTAGTCCACACACGTACCCGATAATCAGGTGGGAAGTGGCTGCAGCCCTGGCCATGAAGGGGTTAACGCGGTGACTCAGGATGTGAGGAACAATCTGAAGTTTTGTAAAATAATGACTTCATTAAAACCAACAGTAAACACTCTCTGTGTTGCTCTCTGCCCTGATGGCACCGATATACACGTGTTCCCCTGGTGGGGCCGGGCCGAGTGCTGATGGATTGGCCTGAGCTCTGGTCAGACAGTTTAAGATAACAGCTAAAGTCAGAGGATGTTTGGGTTGGTCGGGCTGAACGCAGGCCAGCTGAGCGCAGGAATGTTTCTCTTGGCTGCTGCTCGCACGTGAGACTGTGAGCTTCCCCCTGGGCTCTGCACAGGGACTCCCTGACCAGAGAGCTGCTCTCACACACAGCACCACAGCACAGCACACACAGCACAACACACAGCACAATACACACACACAGCACAATACACACACAGCACAATACACACACAGCACAACACATAACACAGTGCGACACACACAACACAACGCAATACACTCAGCAGCATAGCACACGCACATACACACAACAAAACACACACACAGCGCCACACACAGCAACACACAGCTGCATAGTGCACACAACACACACACACATACACACTCGATCACATGCATTACATGTTATACAAATGTAGTGTGTACATCACGCCTTGGCACTTGGCTGTGTCCAAGCAAACAATCAGCCAACTAGAATCAGTTGCTCACTTTATGGCTGATGTGGGACATTCCTGTTAGCAAATTGTCTGTCACGTTTGTATATAAATAGTCACTGCACTTTACAGTATATCCAATTTGGAAAATCTTGACGATGTGATAAGGCAGTGGATCAAAGGCAAGGATTGTTATCGTGACATTTTAGCTTGTGGTTGGGGGGGGAGGGACGCATACTCGGGAAGTTACCGTTATGTGGAAAATCACAGGAAAATCACATAGGAGCCAACAGGGATTGTGGAAAGCGCTGGGAGCTTCCTGTTTACCTCGGTCGCTGGTAACGAGTGACAGGATGAGCAAGAGGGAGACGAGGGCTTTGATGTTGAGGCGAGGGAGACAGAGAGAGGGAGACAGAGCGAGGGAGAGCTACCCAGCTCAGACCATTAGTTTGATGGAACTTCTGATATGCTCAGTGCTGCCCTCACTCCCATCTATAACATACACATGGCCTAAAGGACAACAAAATCAACAAGTTGCTCTTTACTATAAGCACAAAGCAAAGTGACCTCAGTCCCTGGTGTCAGGTTGGATTGCCTGCCCTGCAATTTTCCAAGGTCATATCAGAAGGTCACCGTACCCCAAGACTGAGCCTGGAGTTGGAGCTCTGGTTGGGGACATTCACTTTCCCACTCCCCACCCCTTCCTCCCCCTTCTCTCTCCTCCACTCCCCCACTCACATCCTTTTCAAAGCTACAATAAAGTCTGCTTCAGTCAGGCATATTCCCCTCTAACCCCTCCCCCGTGTAAACCACTCGCCTCACCTCCCTGTGTCTCTGGTCATGATTCTCAGGAAAGTCAGGAAGGAGCCTGTGTTTGGGTTAGACTCTGCTCCTGGTTCCTCTCACTGTGGGAGCTGAACTGAGCTCTTCAAAGCTGCCTGAGGTTCCCACGTACATCTGCCACCTAGACACAGACACATACACATCCCCTCCCCTCGCTTCCTCAATCATCCCCTCGCTCTTTCCCCTCACGTTGCTCTTTCCCACTAACTGAACCTGCATTGACCAGACCTCGGTGACTGACTCAATGGCTGAATGATTGACTCAGTAACTGCAGCTCTGACACCTCACCCTCTGGTCGATGCTCTGGGACGGATTCCAAATCCCAGAACACGAGCCAAGTCTCTTGGCAACTTCTCTGTGTAATTGTTTAAGCCTCAAGCGATTGGCCAGGGGACAGACATGCAGGAAGCCCCAGATACCAGGATAGCCTCTCATTGTCAGATTGATAGTTGTGTCCTGCAGGAATCCCACAGCCCAGCCACACGGGGAGAGATGAGAACATCACAGGGAAGGCCAAATTCAGGACAGACCCCACCCCAGGAAGTTTTGCTTTACTCAGAAGGTAATTCATGAGTGAAACAGGGTGACCAGGGGCTCTGGATTCATTTAAACAGCAGCTCAAGGCTGTGATGGGACGGTAGGGTAGATGCTGTGAGAGCTGAGATCAGAAGGGCTGATGGCTTTCTTCCCATCATGTAACAGTGTGGAGAGGTCAAAGGCAAAGATTGTTATTACTGGTCACTAGTTGGTCATTAGACATTTGAGAAGCCCCAGTTTGAGGCCTGGCTTGAGGTTTGAGGCTGTGGGCACTAGGTCAGGCTCAGTGGCTGAGAGACGTAGTTTCCGTGATGTGACGTATCTTCAGCATAGTGTGACCAACAGAGTCACTGGCGAAGGTCAAGAGAAGTGAAAGTCTCTCACTGTTGGGGCTGGTGGTGGGGGGCTCAGATCCGACTCTGCCCGCGTCTCACCCGTCCCCTCCCAAAACCCTTTAATATTCCTGCTCCTCAAACAGGGCTCTGTCTGTGCCCAGAGTGATGGTGAGTCACAGCTCGGCCTGGGGAGGGTGGAGTCTATAACTTGGCTGTGTATCATCTGTCATGTGGTGTGCACATGGGTTAGAGGGTCCGACATCTAATGACAAAATCATGCCAGCTGACAGCGATGCATATCGTAACATCCACATCACCAGTTATATGGAAATTTCCCACAGATTCCCACACAACCCCTCTCCGCGCCCCCTCCCCAGACTC